TGAAAAGAGAAAAGAAAAACAAAAAACAAAAAAAAAGAAAGAAAAAAGATGAATAGATAGCAGTTATTTTTCTGTCGATTGTTTTAAAAAAAAAAGGATATTAATCACTCGCATTTTTCTTGTTACTGATTATTGTCCTATTAATCGATATATTTAACGACCGATCGAATTATTAAAGCTTGGGTTCGCAATAAGTGAATCACGAGTCTAAGAAAAAATATATGTACGTATGTGTATCTTATTCGACTTTGACAATCGTCCATTTTTTTACTTGAAATTAGAAATACATATATTCGGTATTGCTCGTGATAGTAATATATATCATCTTCTAGATATCGGCTGATCGAGAGATAAAGAGACAGAGAGAGAGAGAGAGAGAGAGAGAGAGAGAGAGAGAGAGAGAGAGAGAGAGAGAGAGAGAGAGAGAGAGAGAGAGAGAGATACGTTGAAAATCTCACGATGCATCGTGTTGTTTTCAATGTAATACGATCCAATTTATTCAGACGGAGATCATTATACAGATTGAATTGTGTAACGTTATCACGCGTTGTTGGAAAACAGAAAATTGATTGCACATACATAAATATTTTTATAAGTTAGTAATTCTCAACATGGAATACTCTGTAAAATTTTGTGGAGTACGCTGTGAAAGTATACGTACATTAAATACAAAATTTAATGTCTATCGTACATATATGTTTTATTTCATTCCTATTGTTATACTATAATTATAGTCTTATTTATATGTACAAATGGTATACCAGTTACATACATATTTCCAGGTAATAAAAGGTTGAGAATCACTGCGATAGATTATTCTTTTCTTTTCGAATGAACGTAATTTATGAATAAGTCCAAATACAAATAAGTTGTATATGTGCGATGAAAGTAATATAAGTCATATTGTATAGTTCACTCTGTATAAATGATCAAAATTATTGGATCATAAGAGATAGGGGGGGAAGGAAAGGGGGGAGAGAGAGAGAGAGAGAGAGAGAGAGAGAGAGAGAGAGAGAGAGAGAGAGAAAGAAAGAAAGAAAGAAAGAAAGAAAGAGCCGAAGCTTTTAGGAATTTAATATTGCGAATGCCCTGGTATTTGACGCACTTCCATAATTCGATTGTGTGCGATTTGTAATTACATTTATTAAGATCTTTGTAATATGTAATATATGTACACGTGTACACGTGATTTCTTTCTTCTTACTTTTGATCGTTTTTCTACGTTTATTATTATTATTGTTGTTGTTATCGCATAAGGCGAAGCTTGAAATTTTACGTCGTCGGCTACATCCGCAGGAAAAGAGAAAAGAAGCAGACGAATCGATCGACGAAGGCACGATAGTCTAACGAAGATAAATTTTTCGTTATCGATCTTATATAGACCAAGTTATCTTAAGGGACATACATGTGTCACTAAACTATTTAACGTGGTATATCTTGAGTATTCATGAGTCGCATTTTCATATATTATATGTGTGTATGTGTGTATATGTGTATATATATATATATATATATATATATATGCACGTAAATCAAAATTTTCTAAATGGATCAGAAGTTCTTAAGTGATTTTTAAAAAATCAATAACACTTTTTCAAGACTTTTTGAGCTTGTAATTAGTCTTGTAATTTTACAAGCTAAGCTTGTAGTTTTACGATCTGAACAAAAAATTAGCCTAAAATGTCTAGAAAAGAAGTAATTGATTTTCAAAATCACTTAAGAATTTTTGCTCCACCTAAGAACTTTTAACCAGACTGGTGTGTATATATATATATATATATATATATATATATATATATATATATATATATATATATATGCACATTATCCTTTTGTAAATTAAAATGATGGATTTTTAATTGAAATAAGTTTCTTTGAATAATAACATAAGTACGATACATTTTATTAAACTGTCGTGGAAAAAAATGTCTCAGTTTCTTACTTGAAAGAAAGATATATTTATGTTTAAATAAAAATGCGACACGCGAATTCGTACGATGTAACGGTAAACGGATGCTTTGTAAATAAGTTAATGGAAGTTACAGTTAGAGAGGATTCTAATTTTAAAGAGTTTTAAGTAGTAATTTGTAAGGTTTTTAAATGGGCTGATGGAGCTCGAGTGAAAATGATTATATTATCGAAGTCCGGTAGTGCTAACGATGGCTGTGATAAGAATAAGGATTAAAAAAAAAAATAAAAAAAATAAAAAAGGGACTGTCGATAAAATGCACACTTGTAAATTAAGAACTTGGTTTAAAGTTGAATTTTGTTTAGATGCTCAATGTACGTTATGTATTTAATGCGTACGTAATTATTTACATACTTATGTATGTAAGTTTCGTTTACTTAGTGTTTTAATCTATTACATTTATATGGATACGATACGGTTTGATTTAAGATGATATGCGATGAAGAAGAACATAATTTTAATAGCGTGCTGTTATTGCAAGAAAAAAGAAACAAATAACCAAAAAAAAAAAAATGACAAATAGATGAACGCGTCTATAAAAATGCCTGCGACATTCTCAATAATATATTCAACATATTTTTCTCTTCTCTTCTCGCGTAACTCGATTATAAAAGATGAATGCTCTCTGCAAATCGATTTCGATTAGTAAAAATCTAGCGACTTGTGGTCATACGAGCGTAGCCTTACACACTAATTACACTCTGTTAAAAATAATTAATGAAAAAAAGAAAAAAAAAGAGAAGAAAAAAAAAAGAAAAAACATTACGTATAACAAATAAACGTACACGCGACATATGATAATTGATATTATGGCAAAAGCGAATGTGTGTATATTATATATTATTATACGTATATACATATGTGTGTACGTGTATATACACAGTTAGTTAAACCGTATGTTGTGCGAATATTCCAATAGAAAATTCGTTGAATTATCGGAAGAAGAAAAGAAAAAAGAAAAAAGAAAAAAAAAAAAAAAAGAAAATGAATTGTATCGCATTTTGTACTGACGATTTTTCATTATCTTTTAATCGTTATTTGTGTCTATGTATGTACTTAGTTACAATGCTTTTCGAACCCCATTAATCATCGCCACGATTTTTCTATAAACGATCTTCCTCTTACAAGCCAGAGACACGAAACCGATTTTTAAATCAGTATATTTTGATGTATATTATATAAGCTTTTTAATATACTTATTTTTTTTTTCTATTCATATGAATGTTTAAGAAAGTTACACATGTTTAAGAAAGCAAGTAAGCTATACGTTTGCACGATGTTCGTCGATATACAAATTATAGTCTGTCTATTTATCTATCTATCTATCATCTATTTATCTATCTATCTATCTATCTATCTATCTATCTATCTATCTATCTATCTATCTATCTATCTGTCTGTCTATTTATCCATCCATCTATCTATCTATCTATCTATCTATTTGTCTATCTAGTTATCTATTGGATTGATAAATTTGCAAGGAAATAGAAAAACGGAAAAAATCGTCAATACAAAAATAATATACCTCGGATAAAATCGGCGCGCAAATTACGGGACGCGTCACTTCGTTCTTGAAATTCTCCTGTATAAGTATTATCTTATACCTTTCTTAATCCTTGTTGCTACAGTCACGAAGATTTTACGTGGATCTGTAGTCGCTCTCGTTAAATTTGATTAAAACATTAGAAAGAAAAATAATGGGACTTGTGCTTTATTATAACAAGACCACCTCCATCCCAATTTTATTTTCGATGCTTTTTAATGGATTACGAATAAGAAGGTCAAAGTGACGTAGGAAAGTGGATAGGAATTACTGAAATACATAAGTGTATTACATAAGGAAGCAAATCGATTAGATTTTCATACAAGGATGATATAGACGAGGAGGATAGGATGCATTGCATATAGAGATTGTTATTATCTCATTGTGCGTACTTTTCTTGATTATAAATAAGAGATTTAAATAAAACAAAAAATCTATCTTTCAGGAATCATCCACATTTTTAAATGTGAAAGATAAAATTTCGCACGCGTTCGCCTTTTTCTCTGTTATAATCCTTGTACATAGTACACATATATACACTCATGTATATATACATATGTTTCAATATGTATATAAACACACACACACACACACATATATATATATATATATGTATATATGTATATATGTATATATGTATATGTATATGTATATGTATATATATATATATATATATATATATATATATATATGTATATGTATATATATTAGACGTAATGTAGAGCAAAAATTAGACGTAAGCCTTCTCGATAGCCAAGCGATCGTAGGAAGAAGGGAAGAAAACTGTCCCCCTCTTCCGTGCTCGGTCTCTGGTGTATGTAGGGTCATTGCATGTAAAATCGATCACTTTTTAGAGCAATGAGGAAGTAATGGAATTTTTGTTCGAAATCAAAATACGTTATTAACGAAAGTATGTATACGGTATATCTACATACATACATACATAGATAAATAATACATGTATTTAAAATGATTTTGAAACAAATGTTTTCGAAATACCGTTGCGTTGCAGTGCTTCGATTTTTGAAATGAAGAAGAATAAAATAACAAAAACAAAAAACAAAATAAGAAAGAAAATTATTGGAAAAGTTAACGTCAGAGACGAATAAAGTGAGCGATTTCACGTGGAGTGAGCCTGGAGAAGAGAGAGGAGGTGCGTTAACGAAGATTGGATGGTCTTTCAGGGGGAGGAAGCAGCGGCGGCAGCAGCGCAGGTGGAGGTGGTGGTGTAAGCGGGAGCCTCAGTAGCAGCGCGGGTGGAAGAGGACGAGGTGGCATCGGTGGACCGCCAGGAATCGGAATGGGTATTGGAGGTGGAGGAGGTGGCGGGCCAGGAATGCTTGGCAGAGTAGCCGGAGGGGGCTTTGGTCCACGCGGTGCTCATCATGGTGGCTTCATCGGAGGTGGAGGAGGACCTGGAGCAATGAGGATGGAGAAGCTACATCCGCATCGTTTCAATCCCATCGGTATGGGTGGTGGATACGTTCAGTCACACTTTTGGTGACCATCGAGGAACAAGAACGCGACGACGACGACGACGGCGACGACGACGGCGGCGATGACAGAGATGGCTGAGATGGCTATGCCATCCGCTTCAAGCATGACTGTCACTACGTCACTCTCTTTATCTCGCGCAGGACACCCTAACGAGGATCGATCTTCGTAAACTGCCGACGCGATACGAACTTTGTCATCTCGAGCGATCGTCGAGTACTCTCGAGGCTTTTTTTATCTTCCCTTTCTCATTCATTTTTTTGTCGTCTTCTTCGTGTTCTTATTCTTCTTCTTTTGCTTTGTCTTTCTGTCTTTCTGCCTTTCTTTTTTCTTTTTTCTTTTTTCTTCTTTCTTTTTTCTTTTTTATTCTGTCAATGTCCAGAAACTATTAACTATTGCGCTACAAAGACACTAGTGCTTTTTCAAGCGCTTAATTTCTGGATCTATTTTCTTTCTCGTTTCTATTCTCTCTTTCTCTCTCTCTCTCTCTCTCTCTCTCTCTCTCTCTCTCTCTCTCACGTACACACACAACAGATATACACACACACACACAGAGTCCTCCATTCCTCGATAACTTAACGATCGCTCGAACATCCATTCCGCATGATCGGGGAATAATTGCGAGACGTAATTTGCGATGCATTGGATACGTTCCAAACTGTGTCAGTGCCCGCGTTAAATGTAGATAAGAAAAAAAAAACAACAAAAAGAAAAAGTAGGTGTTAAAATCCCGTTGCATAGCCCGTGCCGTGGTGTTTTAAAATGCACGTGTCCGCATTCGGGCTAAACTCGTTAAGTAAAAACTATAAAAAGAAAAGAGTTCTATATACATGTTGTATATTTCATTTTAATGGTTCTGACTTTAAACTTTATCGGATGTTTCAATTTTAAGAAAAGTTTTATCGGAGTCAGCTTCAAGCGCAGAACGGTATTCCCTGATTCTATGCAACGTTGGATATCGATGGTATTTGCGATAAGGAAATCGAACCTATGATATAATGAAAATGCGGCCAACGCGAAAGACACGCGTTATTATTATTATTATTATTATTATTATTATTATTATTATTATTATTATTATTAATTATTAATAATATTATTATTATTATTATTATTATTATTATTATTATTATTATTATTATTATTATTATTATTAGGAAAGGAAACTCGATGTAAGATATTTTATATTCTTATCGGTTTAATGTCAGTACATATACAGGTATATAAGACATATTACTTAACCTTATAAAATAACTTGCATCGAATCAACTTTCCTCGTTTCCGTTCGTATTAAATGAGCGCGCAGTAGTAAATGTGTTTTAACAGAATAACAAAATTATGCGTGAGGTATAGAAGAGGACGCGAGTGAAGGATTTACTTCAATATATAGAATGTTATTAATCTTATGACTCGTTTGCCGCGATTACGTGATACTTTTACCAAATTTTAATCACGTTTTAATATTAATGATAATCACTTATTTTAGCTATTCGTTCGAATTGGTTATTTTTAAATAATAACAAAGCGAAAGGGGGAAAAAAAGAAGAAGAAGAAGAAGATAGACAAAAACCGTGTAAGAAAAATAGGGATGTGAAAGTTTTAGACATAGATCATAGAGTTTCATCTATTACGTTCGATGTTGTTGTTATTTTTTTTTTCTTTTTTTTTCTCCTTATTTTATTTCTTTTCTTTTTTTTTTTTTTTTAAATTGTAACCGAGAAACAGCAAAATTCTAATAAATTACTAAGTTTTTAGTTGATACCACCACTTATGCGATGTTTCAAATTATTTTTATTTGTTTTTTTTTTTTTTTTTTTTTTTTTTTTTTTTTATTGTTATTATTATTATTATTATTATTATTATTATTATTATTATTATTATTATTATTACGCCTGAAAATTATTCACTAACGGACTGTGACATAAAAGTACAAAACTTCAATATTTACCATCGTTATCCTCGTGCACCGCGATACATGTAAATATTGGGAAAAACGTATTAATTGCGATATCTTATAGAAAATGAGACTGACTTTTTATATAGAGACAAATTTTACGCTAGTGTTCTGCGACGTATCGAAGTCACGTTTACGGTACCTTTGCTAACTGTAACGGACAGATTGCTCTTGTCTCTCTCTTCAATTTCGTTCAATAAATTTTAAGATCACTTTAATGCTAGGAAGATGATAATATAAAGGAAGGTTGTGCACTCTTTTAAGCATCGGAGATATTCGTTTAACAGGGTAGAAGAAGTTCAATAAACGTTTCATCATTGTAAAGAACATGATTAATAGACGTTTACATTACATTTAATTACGATTTAGCATAATAATTTAACGGAAGCTATAGTATATTTAATATCTCGTTCGATATATCACAAAAATACATATACACACACATACACGCACATATACATACATACACAGACAGACAGATAGACATGCGCGCGCGTACACACACAACACACACGCACGCACACATACTTAATAACTTTCTAAACATTATTTATTGTCGTTGGTAATCGTTCAAGATAATATATAACGTCCACGTTTATATAGGACGTATCAATATATTTCATTATAATCAAGAATTGCGAGAAGTCTAGGAATAATTATACAAAGTCAAGTTAGTTCTCACAATTTTATGATATTTCATTATTATAATACCACATTAGAGGCACGTGCATGGATCGGAGTTCTTTTACGGGACGTTTTTAAAACGGTTTTGTTCCTTTGATAGAAACATAACATAGCGCGGTTTACGAGAAAATAGTCGAGAATTTTATCGTTGGGTTCGCGTAGAAGTTCACGTGTTCGAAAGTCGTCTTACCTCATTTTTATTTTCACAAAACCGGAGTTAACGAAGCGTCGAAGCTGCTTCACATGTATGATTATAAAAGACAAGAAAAAAAAAAGACAAAAAACCAAAAACAACAAAAAAAAAGAAACAGTTCAATATCAAATCGGTGTGCAACGTTATCAAGCTTCTCTTTACAATTTCTTGCACAAGGAAGAACGTCTACTAACAGAGCCAATATGAAGATATGAACAAGGTATTTCAATAGTTTGTGACTTCGCACGAATGGATGTACCAAAAATTTTAATAAATACTATGATTCTACTAAAGATCGTTCCCAAAACCCTTCTAATTCTAATATGAAAAGTGTAGAAAATCAAAGGAGAACAAGGGAACTAGAATTATGCGAGTGAAATTATGATCAGGAAAAAGATGTATGGGCAGATAAAGTGTGTATGAAACGAGGCGAGAAGATACGAAATATTTATACATTTTATTTTTATCATTTCTTTCTTTTTCTCTCTTTCTCTCTTTCTCTCTTTCACACATACACACACATATACACAAATTAACACGATTAACAAATAAATTAAAAATCACAGAAACATAACATATATATATATATATATATATATATATATATATATATATATATATATATATATATATCATGAACTAAAAGTCGGTCGATATTTTATCCATCGATGAGGTTCTCCGGATACGATGTTGCCCTTCAAAAGGCAGCTAGCATTTTAATAAAGCCAAGTGCCCGTTGACGAGCTGCAGCGTAACCGATCAAACAGCTTCCTTGTGCGTCGAAAGAATTCGCTAAAATTGTGTTAAGAATTGTGAGAGAAAGGAAAAAATTTATTATGTTCTACGTATACATGCATATACAATGATATTAAGAGAGACAGACAAAGAGAAAGAGAGAGAGAGAGAGAATTAAGATTTAAAAAATGGATCAAATGATACAGAAACATATATCATCAAGAATTATTCTACATACTTTCCTTAGAAGAATATCCAAAATAATTGTAACTACATCACACTCGAAGAAAGGGATATACAAAACTTTTGTATTTATTTGTGAACGATACAGCGAGATATATGGAACACACACGTGACCCAAGAAGAAATTCGAACGAGAATCAATGGAACAATCGCGTGAACTTCATCACATGCATAAAAAGAAGAAGTACATATTTAAAAAAAAAAATAATAAAGAAAATTAAAGAAAAAGGAAGAAAAAATGTAGTGTAAAAAAAAGAAGGAAAACGCGCGTTGTGGACGGTACAAAACGCACTCGTTGATTGAAGATTTCTGAGTTAGTACGGGAAACTTTATAAACGGCATAATCTCTCCACCCACAGGATGCTGCGGCCTAAAGATTAGCCGCGAGGACGGCAAACTCGTCGAGGAGGAAACAGGAAGGGGCGGATAGCTACCATGAACCAACCAAGATACCATTATACTTTCGGCATATGGGTTTAGCTATACACTAAAAATGTACCAAGGATTATGGATAAAAGAGGCTAAAAGTGTGTGTGTCTTTCTTCGATATCATCAAGGACGCTACACTTTCCGCTTATTATTTAATCACTTACATTATGAATTAACAGGACATTTTTAGAATTATCTCTTTCAGGGAGAATCTCCTTTAATACATTGTTGAACGGTTTATATGAGTATATATTTGTCTTTGCACATGCATGCATTTTATGTAATTATTAAAGTATAAAATTGTGTTATAGTTATTATTATAGTATTGTTTATTGTCTTGGATAGTGTTTGTAATTAATTTTGATATTGCCGCAATTTTGCTGAATTTTTAATATTTCAATTAATAATGACATTATTTTTAATTATGAACGTGGCTAAAGTGAAACGCATTATTTTTCTTTTTTATTTTTTTTTGCATATGATAAGCCGATCAACAATGTATTAATAATACAAAAATATTATTATTTTATATCTAGATAAGAACAATAATAATATACTAACTTTGTTTGGTTTGTTTGTTTAGTATTTTTTTTTTTTTTTTTTTTTTTTTTTTTTTTTTTTTTTTTTTTTTTTAATTTCAATTTTCCGAAATCTCGTGCGATCAGAAAAATATTAATAATATGCTTTATCGTAATTTTGATTATCGAAAGGAATGACAATCGGTGGTTTTAAACTATTTTTTGCGATTTATATGTATATATATATATATCTTTTTTCTTTTGAAATATTTTTTGCGGCAACAACACGATAGTAATTTTAGGATAAAAGAGAGAGTCCAACTTATTCGGCTTGACCATAGACAGAAAATTTGGCTAAATCTTTCCTCGTATGCACTAACACAGATACCAATATACATACACATAACATATATACATGCATAATACATTCATCAAATATTTATATATATATATATATATATATATATATATATATATATATACTGCATATACGTACAAAGGTGACCATACAATCGGTATTTTGTTAAAAATTGAATCGAAGCTTTATCGGGAAGCTTTTCGGCTTATGAACGCGGACGCGGAAAGTGGAGATTAAATCGTCGCTTCTACTTGAGTACTCCACAACGTCTTGACACGTTTACGAAGAATTTTTCTCCGGTTCGTTAGTCGCGATCATTCTCTCTCTATCTATCTGTCTATCTATCTATCTATCTATCTATCTATCTATCTCTTTCTCTTTTTCACTCTAACACATATTTTTTTGGGTTGCTTGACCTGACACAATTTTTTTTATCCTCATTTTTTCCTCTTCTCTTTCTCTCTCTTTCTCTCTCTTTCTCTTTTTCTCTCTCTATTTATCTGTGTATCTATCTCCGTCCTTTTCTTTCAGCCAAACCCCAACGTTCTTCATTCTCAACCAACATGGATACCTCGGGACGACGAGCTGTGAAATAAACGCGCATCTGTCGCACGTATGTTTTGTATTAAAAGACTCAAGAGGAGAAGCTGGTCTGTCACTATGGGGATACAATGGGTCGAGGTAAGAAAAGGCCACACCGATTCGCTCAACTTTCTCGGATCTCCTCTCTACACACATCTTCGAGGGATATGGTTTACGATAAAACTTTTGTTATGTCATGAATGATTTAAAAACAAAAAAAAAAATAACAAAAAAAAGAAAAAAAAGAAAAAAAATCCAAAACAAAAAAAAAACAAAAAAAAAACAAAAAAAACTAAAAGAAAACAACAAAAATGATCGTCTTAGGTAAATTTGAATTTCTATTATATAAACATTTAACAATGATTTCATCGTAAACTTTACTACGTGAGATACATATTATCGAAGATATACTAGAATTTAAGACTACAATGATAAGAGAAAAGTTCATTCTTTCTTTTTTTTTTTCTTTTTCTTTTTTTTTCTTCTTTTTTTTCTTTTTTTGTTTCCATGAATTTTCCTATTTCGATACATGTAAGTCGTTTCGAATAAGAGTGAAATTAGCATATCGATATTTTATATATATATATGTATTAGTATATTAATGTTAACATCTCCATTAACAGTGATCGATCATTCAAATATTTTTAAATAAGATAAAAAATTGCGTTTCTTTAGTCGTTCGACTATAGTGTAATTCTTTTTCTTTTTTCTTTCTTTTTTTTTTTTTGTTTCTTTTTAAAACACCGACACAAACGTTATAGGTTTGTAAAAATACACATATACACACAGACAGTGAAGTGTATTTAATATACTTTGTATATCGAACAATATTGTCTACGAAATTGTCTCTAAATTCTAAAAGAATATATATATATATAATATATATATATATATATATATATATATATATATATATATATTATATGGGTTTTGTTCAAACTATAATTTACTGCGTAAGAATGTAAATCTTTCTCCCAATGAAAGAAAATGATCTCTCGTAAAATGTCTACATTCCTCGTGTGCATGATTAAACATTTATCGTATCACCCTTCGACGTAAGAGTTTCGTAAGCAAGAAATTCCTTACCGCCTTAATTTCAAATACCCTTCTCTTATTCGCAAGACCACCTGGTACATATATACATACACATATATGCATACATACAAACGTTTTCGTAGAACCCGATAAGTAAAGTCTCCAGCTGCTTTAGGGTCACGAATAAATGAATCATAATGAAAAACTCCGACGTGTGTGTACCGCACAGCGATCGAGATAGACGATTAGAAGACCTCTTTTTCGAATGCTTAAAAAAAAATCGTACGTAGCTCTTCACAAAAAGAAAATTTTTCTGTCGACAAAAAAAAATATCGAAACGGAAATCGAATTAATTTAATATCAAAGTTTAATGTGATCTAAATGATCTTTTCTCTTTTTCCTTTTTTCTTTTTTGTTTTCTGTTTTTTCTGTTTTTATTTTTTGAGGGGGGGAATTTTCATATTTTTTCTTTTTTTTTCTTTTCTTTTCTTGCTAACGGAGTTTATTTTACTGCATTAAAGAAATTTTTAGTAGATACGTGTATTCGATAAAGGAATGCTTTATCTATCAACGAAAACTTACCAAGCTTCTTCCTCTCCACAAAAAGAAACCACTTCCTCTATAAAACATAAATCTCCTATCGTTACAACTATCGTGTTCTCTATATTCTATATCTTCGATAGTAACCAACGGAAGTCATTAAGTGATTTCTAAAATATACTTCCTCTTATTGTACTTAAACTTTTGATTTTTTGTTTACAAATTCACTAAGCAAACTCTTTTTCCTAACTTTTTGACTTTTTCCTTTCTTACGTATTTACGAATATTAAATCAGTTGTTATTACTATCAATTTCTACAAGATAAAATGTATAACATGGTGTAATCAACTATCGAATTATCTTTCTCCCTCTCCTTCCCTCTCTCTCTCTCTCTCTCTCTCTCTCTCTCTCTCTGACTTTCTCACTCTCTCTCTCTCTCTCTGACTTTCTCTCTCTCTCTCTCTCTCTCTCTCTCTCTCTCTCTCTCTCTCTCTCTCTCTCTCTCTCTCTCTCTCTCTCTCTCTCTCTCTCTCTCTCTCTCTCTCTCTCTCTCTCTCTCTCTCTCTCTCTCTCTCTCTCTCTCTCTCTCTCTCTCTCTCTCTCTCTAAGTAATATAAAAGAAAAGAAATTTTCAAAATTAACTAACAATGAAAATTAACTAATTTAAGTAACTAAAAATTTATCAATTCTATCTTTCATTATATTTTATATATCCACAATCAACATTTTCTAATATTTTCAATTTTGAATGGTAATTATGAAAATGATCCAAGTCATATATTTTTCGTTTTGGGATATATATTTTCGCATTTGGATTTGTATTGTTGAAAAATTATTCTTCTATAATGACAGATACAAAAGAAGTAAACATATTTATTCTTTATAAATAATTCTTTTGTGCGAATAGAATCAGAGAGAATAATGTGTGAGAAGATATATCTTTTAATATCTTAAATCACTTGGATCACTTTTAGAATCACCAGCTTATATCAATATTACTTAATCAATTTATTTCTTGTCTTTTATGTGGAAAATACGAAATAAATATTTGGAGAAACTTAGAAAAAAAAAATAAAGAAAGGAAGATGACGTCGAGAAGCTAGAATAAACATTGTAATGTGGCATCGATGAATAGTGAAGAAGAGGGGGGAGTACAAGGAAAGAGAGTAGTATGAATCATTATCATTCTTTCATGCTCCCTGTATGCTTCTTCATTTTATTTTTCTCTAAGTGAATCAACGTAGTCGTGTTGATACGCGTGAGCCTTCCTGTTTTTCATTTGAGGTCAATTTTTCAAATGCTTGTTTACATAATAACAAGATCTTTTATATTATACTACATCATTATACTTGAATTTTATATTCATTCAATATGTTCAATGACGCACACATACACACACACACGCTCTTTCTCTTTCTCTAATATAAAAAAAAAGAAACAGAAAGAAAATTCGAATCTAAAAATCTCGAATGTGAACTTTTCTAAATTACCTATACGAATTTCGCGCGCTTTATTTACGCACGAGTCACGTGTTCGACGCGTCGAGAATAAGTAAGATCCTCGATAATCGATAGATAAAAGAACGATGTTTATTGATACAAATGAAAAAGAAAACAGAGATATACATTATAAAAACGAACGATATATCCTATGTTGATCTTCTTACTTCTTCATTGGTGAAAATTCTGATTGATTTCAATTTTTCCACAAGACACATGATCGTCTTGAAAATATTTCTTTGATTTTCTTTGGTGAACTATTTCATATGCAACAACATTGTTTGTCTAACGATAACACTAATATATTTGTTCACTTTTTACAATTTTTGTTTTCTTTTTTTTTTCGAGAGATTAAACTCAAAAAATAACGTCGATCCTCATTATTCACAAATTTGCTTCGATGAATATCCTCGATCTTTGATCCACGTGAAAAAAAAAATCAACGGGAACAACGAAGCTGTTCGGTACGACACGGTGTACACACGACCTCAGGAGAAACAAGACTGAACTCGATTCGCGTGGCATCGAGCGAACCAGTGTGTATACATGTACAAGCGAAAGCTTGAGAGGAGGATTGGCCAGAGGAAGAGAAGGAATGTGTGTCTCTCTTCCTTCTATTTGTCCTTTACGAATAGATATATATATATATATATATATATATATATATATATATATATATTTATTTATTTATATTTTGCTGTATGAACATCTCTTTTCCATCTCGATTTCATTATCATTTTTTTTGAAAGAACTCTTTATTATACTACAAAATTATATAATCTATAACATATTATACGTGTGTATATATATATACATACATACATACATACATACATACATACATATATATATATACATATATATATAATATATGATTATGTGATTTTAAAGTTATATCTTTATATATCTAATTTTAAAATTATATATTTCTAACAAAAATAAAATTATATATATATATGTATATGTATGTATGTATGTATGTATGTATGTATGTATGTATGTATGTATATATATATCTCTCTTGAAACTTAAAAATCATATAATGTAAAATTCTGGTAATATGAGTTATACTAGTATAACACTATACTATAATAACAATTAATTTTCAAAAATACAAATATATAAGTGTATGTAACTTCGAAGTTATATATCTTTATATATCTAAATTGAAAATTATACATATTTCTAACAAAAATAAAATCATATAGATATAAAATTAAAAAGTATATAATGTCAAATCTCTTCTCTTTCTCTCTCTCTCTCTTTCTTATAATGTAAGTTATGCTGGTATAACATTATACTATAGTAACAATTAATTTCTCGAAATACAAGTATATGAACGTGTGACTCCAAAATTATATGACGTAACAGAGCATTACATAGTTTTTAGGCTAGCTTATATGTCTTTATATATCTAAATATAAAATTATACTTCTCAAACAAAAAAATTATATATCTCAAAAATTACAAATTATATCATGTGAAACTTATAAGTTATATACTAGTATAACTATATACTATATTAATAATTAATTTTAAAACAATACAAATATATGAGTGTATAACTTCAAAATTACATAATGCGATATAATTTATAATTTTACCAAATTTTCTCTTGTATCAAATAAAAATTTTTTTTTCTCGTATCTCCAGTTCAATAATACGAAGTTTGTACGTACATATATCGTGTTCTTGAAATTTATCAAGAATCCAAATCGTGATTGTAATCGAATTAATCTGATTTCGCGGACGATTTGATTACAGTTTTCCTTTCTCTTTCTCTTTTCTTCCTTTCCTCACCTCTTGATCTCTTTTCCTCCCTTTTTGTAAATTTCTCGGTCAGATCTATCGTAAATGTTCATCCTCTTTCATTCTCGTAAACCTATATTTTACTCGATTACGTTCGATCATGAAACCGAGATCAATCGATCGTTCATACGATGTTCGTTGATCTTATTTTTTTGGAAAAATTTTAAAGTTACATTTAAAAGTCACAAAATCTCAAAATTATACAGTTAGTTTCTCAAAATTATAATAGTATTTTGATCATTATTTAAATTAATTATATAAAGTGTTATAAAAGCAATTATTTATCTTCTAATTATATTTTATTTTTTATTTTTGTATAAATATGTATTTTATTATTTTGTTGAATCAAGTATTTTTTTTTCGAATATGAACTTAGATCGATTTACAAAAAGTCAATGCCACAGGAAGGAAAGGACGATGAATATATTAGCACCCTTTGAGTTGTAACCATTAGAACGCGAACTGCACGGTGAATAGTTAAAGAGAACTATAAGTTATTTTTTTTTCTTTATCCTTGAAGAAAACGTTCGAAGTTATTGCGATCGATAATTATCTCGGATATATTGACTTATGTTGTTTCAGATTTTTCATCTTAATGTATATATATAATATATGATAGCTTAAGCAATTTTTTTTTTTTTTAATTTAATAATTTTTTGTTATAATATATCTAAAAATATCATAATCAATATAATTTTTATGAAGTTAATCTGACATTGAATATGAATATGAAATCAAGTTAACCTTCAGATCAGTCAAGAAAAATTGAGATTTTATCTTTTAGTTAGCAAGAGGAAAGGGTCAAATATGGAAGGGGTCAGAGGGCAGTGTCCCCTGTGGAAGGGCCAGTCGAAACATTTGCATTTCCTGTTCGATGAATAACATGACGAAGAATGTACACTATAAAGGAAGTATCGTATGTAAAACCATTTATAAATTTATCCTTTAATTCATTCGAATATACATACATACACATACACACACACATACATATACATTTACATACGCATAATTGTATTGACATATGATTCTTATAAGTAGTAACCCTTATGTATCTGATGTAATATAAATATTTAATATGTAATATGTATAAGAACCTTTGATCTCTTTTCAAATATACATATGGATACATAATTATTTGAAATGTAATTCTTATAAACGCAATAATCCTTATACATCCTACATAATATAAAAACTTAATAAGTAATACATATATATACCTATTTCAAAGTTAAATATTCTATTAATTATTATAAGATATTTATCGAGATGAGTATGAATGGCAAATTGTTGCTGATACTGTTAAGATAATATTATCTAATAAATAAAATTTTTTTTATTTGACGTATACAAAAAATTCTTTTGTTAGAAAAAATACCTTTATAGAAGTAAAAAATATGATAAGAATAGTATGAAAAGTATGAGACATCGTGTTAAACAAAATATACGTTTATAAAAAATATAATTGGAACAGAATATAAAAAATAAAATAAAAGGATCTCCTATTTTTCTTCCTTATTAAAAGAAAATATTTGTTTTATATACATTGTACTTAAGAAGTTTCTAGCTGATTTTAAAAATCAATTACACGTTTTTGAGACTTTTAAGGATTATAATTAGACTTGTAATTTTACGATCTAAAAAAAAATTACTTTAAAAAGTTTCGAAAAGGAATAATTGATTGTTAAATCACATAGAGAACTTTTGGCTTACATAGGGATTCTTACTTCTACCTTCGAACACCCCGCTTCTGCCATACTCTATATTTATATATTATAAATAAAAAACGTTTAACGTTTACGTTTCTAACGAGAAGCAACAAAGGAGAAGAAAAGGGTGGATTTCTTTAGCAAATGACGAAAGGGTTGCGTTTTGCAATGCGCTTCATGCTTCAAGGTAGGCCATGCAAAAGAAAGAAAAGGCGCAGAAAACGAGGTGGGGTATTCGGAATGTTTATGGGAACAGCTGTACCTCTCTGTGTCGTTCGTTGGAGAATTGTTGACCGTACACACCTATTTACGTGCATACTTTTGTAAGCAGAGATTTGTTTTCGAATAAAGACTTTTCAGATATAATAATATACATATATATATATATATATATATATATATATATATATATATATGTTTTATAAATCATTAAATTAATTAATTATAAATCAAAGTTTCTAGTTCCATTAAAGTGAATTTAATGTTTCTCATTTTTTAATCAATCTGCAAAGTATAAAAATTCATTAAATTTTAATAATAATACTTCGTCTATTTTATTTTTTAAAAGAAATATTAAGGGTAAATTGTTATTATCTATTATTTTTTATCAACGATTTGTTAACAAAGATAAATTACAAAAATAAAGATGAACGATAAAAGACGCAAAATAAAAGAATATCCGATTCGAAGACGATATAATGCATGGAGTATTATAACGAAGATGAAGCACACTTATCTTCAAACGAAAAAACGACGTTGAAGCATCTGGGATTTCGACAGAGGCTGCGCTAGGGTCAGAGCAAAAACTGTTTATATATCACATATGCGTGGGAGCGAGATCCCTCGTGTAGATCATTTTTCATCTACGCGGTGTTCTTTTAACGTGAATTATCATATCGTTTTAACCCTAAATATCGTTTTGTCAAAGTTGAACACGATAGACGAGTCGATAAAAAGAAAATTAAAATAATGCTTACACGTCAGTTTATATTATGAATTAATTTAGAATCTAAAAAATACCGTAATTTTTAACAATATAATTCAGTGGACTCTAGGGAGAAATATAAATCATTTGAAAAGTTCGCGGCTTATATTTTTCTTTTCTTTAAAATGTGTTTCGCTTTAAAAATTAAATTTATATATTATAAAAAAACCGTGAAGTTTTCAAATGACACATTTATATTATCTATTACATAGTCTACCTAATACTCAATCGTTACGGTTTTAGTTTTAAGATATTCGTTGAGTGCTTCCTGCCCAAGATCCTTTCCAAATCCTGACATTTTGAAACCACCGAAGGGTGCTGCCACGTCTGTTTTATTATATGTATTTATGAATACAGTACCAGCTTCGATCTTTTCTGCAAATCTCAAGGCTCTAGCAATATCTTTAGTGAGTACTCCAGATGCTAAACCATATTCGGTATTGTTCGCCCTTCTTATAATATCATCCATATTCTTAGAATTAAATTTTGAGATCACCATGACTGGACCAAAAGATTCTTCCTTGGCTATGTACATATGATCTTCAACATTGGTAAAAACCGTCGGTTCGAAATACCATCCGGGACGATCTATACGTTTACCACCATAAACCAATTTAGCACCTTCTTCGATCCCATATTTGACGTATTTCAAAAGCTTATCAAGATGATTTTTATGATTTTGTGGCCCGTGAGCCGTACTTCGATCCAAAGGATTACCTACGGAAATTTTTTTCGTTTCTTCGATTATTTTTTTGACAAACTCATCGTGAATAGTTTCTTCGACGAAAATACGGCCTGTATAATAAATAAAAAGAAATAAATTGTGACAATGTGATTACAAAGAATATCATTTGTACTTCGTCATACGTACCAGCGGCAATACAATTTTCACCCTTGTTAAAAAATACACTACTCATTCCTATCTTCACAGCCTGTTGAAGATCAGCATCCTCGAAGATAACTAAAGGACTTTTACCACCTAGTTCTAATGAGACCTTCTTCAAATTACTTTCGGCGCATGATCTCATAATCGTCTTGCCAATTTCCGTGGAACCAGTAAAACCAAGCTTTCTGATAAGTGGATGATTGACTACTGCGTTACCAGTCACAGTGCCATTACCTGGAACGATGTTTATGACACCAGGAGGAATACCAGCTAGTGCGCTGAGTTCGGCAAATTTCAACGCTGTCAACGGTGAAGCTTGAGCTGGTTTCATCACGACCGTATTACCAGCTGCCAAACAAGCTGCCATTTTCCATGAAAGCATCATTAAAGGATAGTTCCATGGCGTTACCAGTCCACATACACCTATCGGTTCCTTTCGCGTAAACGTTAGATTTCTATTTGGTCTGGCATGCGATATAGGAATAGTCGAGCCTTGTATCTTATCACACCAACCAGCAAAATATCTCCAAGTTTCAATGGACATGCCTATATGTGTCTTCAAGGCTAAGGTGTATACTGCACCAGAATCTAATGTTTCTATGGTTGCCAATTCTTCTTTATGTTGTTCCATTAAATCAGCTAGTCTAAAGAAAATCATATTCTATTGAGAACTTTCTTATAGCAATATTTAACAATAATTTAGATAACTCAATGAACACTCACTTAAATAATAATGCTCCACGTTCCCTAGCACTGATCTTACTCCATTCACCTTCCTCAAAAGCTTGCTTTGCAGCTTTCACAGCACGATCAATATCTTCTACCGATGCACTTTCTACGCTACAAATAATGCTCTCGTCGTGTGGATTAATCGTATCGATCGGTTTATCATGTCCATTAACAAATTCTCCATTTATGAAGAGCTGCCTTGGGAATTTCAAGTCTATGTTGTTAGCTCGTATTTCTACAGCATCATATTTGATGTCTTTGGCTGCCGCATTACCACGTGCGGCCAAAATAACAATCCCTACGAATTGCGTGAAAATAGGCGCCATAAAGACGTCGATATTTTGCAAAACTACCCCTAAACTCTCTTTGATCTCTTCGACTAATCTAACAACGTCCATACTTCCAGCACCTATACACAAACGAATTATCAATGTATTGGCTATTATTACATTTACTACTTCTATCAGTTTCCAGTAAGACAATAAACAATGTATAAGCTTATGAGATATTTACAAAGTTTTCAATAATTTAGAAATATGTCGTCCTAAAGTAAAAAAAAAAAAAAACAACGATATCTTACCAGAGGCGAAAAAATCTGTATCATCTTTGATGTCTATTTTAAGTATGTCTTGCCAAATTCGCTGTATGACATCTTTACTCTTCAATTCTTCATTGGTCAATTCCACCGTATCGTTTTCTTGACTTTTACCATATTTACTAGCGTGAACGGTCCTAGAACCAATCTTGATCCTTTCGATGTTAACAAAATTACCATCGACTGTTTTGATCAAAAGACCACCATCATGAATACTTCCCGTTCGATCATCAACGTCGACTTCACTTTCAACTTTCGGTAAAGTTCCATTCCAGAGGGTCGAACCGTACAAACGTACTTCTTCATTGTTAATAAGAGTCCAAGCACCTGGTGTACTATCAAGGCCACGAATGAAATTGTGAATTCCTTTCGCGGGTTTTGACCAATCGATCTTTTGAAGTTCTTTTTTATTTAACAGGGGATCGTAGGTCGCACCTTCTGTTGGTTGTGGTATCACAGGGGCAGTGCCTTTCGCTACTAGATCTACAGCCTCGACCATAGCTTTGATACCTTCAGGATACAAATAATTATTATACAAAGTATCCAACGTATCGTTTGATTCAACTTTGCACGATTTTTGAAGCAATATCGGTCCTGTGTCCAGACCATCATCCGCCCAGAATACTGAAAATCCTGCTCTCTCGTCACCTTCGATCAGGGTCCTATTAAAAATATTGAAATTATATAAACATTACAAGAAAAAGATGAATGACAAAATAACGTTCTATTACGAGCTCTTGACGGTATCATATCTTCTCAGTTTATTATGAAATTTCAACTTTGGATGCTGAGCCATTGAACGCAATCGTCTGGTAAATTTATGTCTCTAATATTATCTACACATAAACTACACATAAACGCGAGAAAGTAATAAAGAGAAAGAAACGATCTTGACGCAATCTGAACCAAACCGGTTCCGCTATGCAAGTGCCTTTCTTTTAAGATTTCAATTCTCTACTTTAACACGATGTTTTAGTCTCGATCTAAACATGAAAAATTTCTTAAACGAAAATCTTTAAAAAAATATATAGATTTGGTGTCTTTTGTAAGAAAATAAATTATACGGTATTGTAATAAAGAAAATATGTCACAAACTCATTTCGCATTATTTTAAAGTATCACAATTCATCTCATAGATTAACGGATCATAGTTAAATACTTCTCTTTACATAATTATATGTATCTTATTGAAAAATATTTTGTATAAATTATATGAAAAGAATTTTAATCTTACCAACTGATAGAACTCGCTCCTCGGTGTCTAGGTAATAATGATGGATGATAACATATGCTACGATGACGAGGATGATTGATAACTTCCATTGGTATGAACTGACTGCAGAAAGGAAGTACGTTTAGGTCAACATCGATACTCTTATATATCTTGAGTACTTCGGGTAGAGTTACACCTTTATTTCTCCAGGATTTTATTTTAAAAACAGGTGTGTTATCAGCCTTGGCAGCAATTGCTACAATTATAAAAAAAAAAAGGGAAAAAAATATAAAAGGTTTTCTTCAAGAAATATTTTAATACTTCATAAATTTGTTATAAAATTTATAATATTTTCTGCTTTTAAATCCATTGTAGAATATAAAGTTAAGAGTAAAAAATGATTAGATCTAATCTTATATACCTAATGGATCCTCTCGATTTCCTTTATCAGGTATCGTAAAGATTCCGGTAATTTGATGACCATTTTGTCTTAATAATTTGTAAACTTCGGCTGCGAACGAGCTCTGACCGATAATCGCTACCTTCAGTTCTGGCATTGTCGCCTATATTTACAAATATATCTTGAAATTATAATGGAATTTCTTTGTTCGAGATATCTTTTAGTAAAATGTTTATAATAAATGTTATTATCAATACGTGATCCTTACTTACAGCTTATTATATGCGACGATAAGATTACAATGTTTATGTTTTTCGACGGAAAAGTTAAAAGCAATGGATGTGAGATTCAAATTACATGCTCTTTTATTACATATTGTTATCTCAGATATCAAATAGAATTTGAGTAGGGGTTACTCACTAAATACCTGATTCTTTTGTATGAATCAACTAAGATAAAGATATCGATTAAATGATACAATTGTTTAAATCATATGCGAACAATTTTTTGTTAGTATGTAACGTGAATAGAACGAAGCGTGCAAATTTTTTTCCTTTCCCTTTCTTTTTTGTTTCTTAAACCTTAAACCAAAATACGTACCTATTTATCTACAGCGTGGTATAATATTGAGAGATCTTTGATAGTACTTTTATGCAAGCTGCAAAAATTAACGGTACGTTTCTTTTTAAATAGTTAAGAAAGAAAGCGAGTTATATTATTATTCACGATAGTATTATATATTATATACATTTTTTTAATTAAGTATATATCTACATACGTGTTTAATGTCTATATCAAGATTAGTTTACTTATATATATCTCACCTTTATTCGCATTAGTTATTAATCGCATGTATATAAGTTAAATGAACCTAAATATCATTCGTTTCTACAATACTCAAGAATGAATAATACATATTTTCTCCGTCTTTCGGAAATACATAATAAATAAATAAAAAATTATTATAAAAATTCTCTACAACGAAATTGTTGGACTATTTAATTAAAAGAAATTTCAACGGGTTGAAAAAAAAAAGAAAAAAAGATTTAAAGATTGACTTACGATATTTACGAATGTGCGCCAAAAGCGAAGATTTGCGAAGGTTAACATTGGAATAATCTTTAATAAATGATTGATTTTTATTTTATTATAAATGATAGCTCAGATCGCAAATGTATTCACCGCGTAAAACTCGCTTTACACGCGTACTCACTTGAACATCGACCTCCTATCCGTTGCAACGTTAAACTGATTCGAAGGGAAAAACGAACAAGGTTTATATAACCCGTCGATATCGCTCTTCGCGAGGGTCAAGAACTCCATGTCATTTTTTTCTTGATTTCTTTTAGTGTTTAAAAGACTTTTCACATAGTACACGTTATCGAGAAAGACACTTTTAGCTTGTCATTTCTACAAATTAAAAAAGCTATAGATGATGTATTGGCAACTATAACGGAAGATTACATGTTGATTGTAACGCATTGATATACATATTTTATATGAATGTATTTATTTATGTTAATCTCACTTTTGATAATCGTTGATAAATTTTATCATTAAATGATATGAAAAATGAAAGAAAAATATGCGCAAAAAAAAAATAAAAGAATTTATGTATCATACTATACATATGTCGTACGTGTAATAAAAAAAAATTAAAGTTTTTATTTCATTAATCTTCAAATTGATTAATGATCGTAGATTTAGATAAAGATACGTTTCGAGATAGATTTTATTTTATCACGACAGATTTTATTTTATTAATCTTCGAATTTATCAATGATCGTAGATTTAGATAAAAATACGTTTCGAGATAAATTCATTATGTTTTTATTTAATGAAAAATCACTTGATGTTTTTAAAAATTCTACGAAAAGAAATTTGAAAGGAAAATTGATGTGTCTTTTAATATATATAATCATTTAAGCAGTACATTAAAACTTATCTATGCTTTCTTTTCCTTTTTGAAGAGTACATCTTCATGAAACTTTTATAATTATTAGTTCAACAAAATCTAGAATAATCCAGTTCATTAAAAAGATTTCCTAGTATCTATTGGTCATAGATCAACGATAAGGTGTTTACAAAATGCATGTTCAACGAATTAAGGTCACAGATTTGTAAAATTTCGTACGATTTAATTATTGATATGTCTTGTCAAAGAATTTGATATTTCTCCGTTACTTTTTTTCAAGTTATTCATAATATATTTTATAAATAAATAGGGACTACTGAAGACATTTATGTTTATTTTTTCCTGTAATCTATTAAAATATAAGAAGTGTAATTTTGTTTATATTTAAAAGTTTTAGCGTGTATATATATTCAAGATATTTTATTTATGTATAGTAAAATCTGTAAAAAATAATAAACAATTAACTTTGAGCAATAATAAATATATATGTATATATATATATTTGTGGGCATTATTTTTATTTGTTATATTCATATTTATGTCAATATATTGCAATAATACTTTAAATATATGTATAATTACTATATGTACAATGCAAAATACTACATAGTATTGTAGACGTATAAAAAAATGGGTCTCTGATTGAACCAGGTTTCTAAGTATCCCGAATCTCAGCATTTTGCGTATGGTATTCTAATCACTAAGCCACCCAAGAATTCAAAGTTTTGATTAAATAATTTATTAAAATGATCTTCTATATAGATGGACATTTTTAATGTAATACAAAATAATTTTTTTTTAATGTTTAATTTAATACAATAGTTCTAATAAAAATCTTTTTCAGTTTTAATTTTTAAAAAACCTATAATACCTTAAGAGATATTACTATTACTTAATTCTTTTATTATAATCCTTTTATTAACATATAATATCTTTGCACTAAAAAGTTTATAATCATTAAAGAATATTTAATATCTCGGTACTTTAAATTCCGAGCCTCCTTCTAAAGTAGCAGCCGGTTTTCTTTTATTCATTATATTTTGAATTTTCTGCCATTCGCGATCCAGTTCTGCTTTTTCATTTTTTTCTTTATTATATTTCCTAGTTCTTCTACCATCTGCCATTTTCACACCATACTGAAAAGCTGCTTTTGGTAGTGCTTCTTTATTATTCATATATTCGCTATATTCTTCTGGTGTATCAAAATCCCATCTACCAATAGGACCTTTTTTATTGCCTAAATCCATTTTGGTATAATCTACTTCATCGTCGGAATCATCTATAGCATCCTGCATTTCATCCAAACCTGGATAGCATTCTGCATAACCTTCAGGTTCAGCAGCCAATTTATTAAGAAGTGCTCCCTTTTTAGGTGCATTAGTTTCGACAATTTGAGGTAAAGTACTTGGTAATTGTGGAGTATTTGCTTTATCATCTGTGTCTAAATTATTCTCTGGCTTATCAAAGTATGAACCTTTCTTTTTGTCACGATGCTGCATATTGTCCTTTCTTCCAATAGTGGGAACATAATCACCAATATCCCCATATATACTCTCATCCTGAGGTCTTGGTGGAAGATCCATATCATTTGTATCATCCGCTCTAGAGCGACCATCCTTATTTTTCTTACCTTTTTTTCCATGTCGATTACCTTGCCTTAGGTATGATAAAATTTGTGCTAATTTATTTATTACTATATCATTGGTTGTCAATGTTGGCGTATTTTCCACAGTAGGAACATCTGCTTTACTTCTAATTAATGTTGTTGGAATATCTACATCAGCATTTTCATCATCCAATTCTATAACATATGCCATTCGTCCTGGAGTAAAAAGTTCATTCCTTTCTATTTGTTTAGACTTCATGGTTAAAATAGTTTTATAAATATTGCGACCAATTTTAGTTTTAAATTGCATTTCATCTTCCTTTTTTTCTGGTTCTTTCTTTTCCTTTATTTTTTCTTTTGGTTTCACTAACTTTTCCATTTCTTGCTCTTGTTCATGTTCTTTAGCTTCTATCTCACTACGAACCTATTAAAAAATAAATTCTTTATTTCATAATGAAAATATAATCATACATTTAAGTTTAACTCTTTGCAAATCTAAGGTAGGCTATGCCCAATGTGCTTAACATGCAATGTGAAAAATAAAATAGGCAGAAATAAATAATTGTATTTAAAATAAGAGTAAAAAAGTTTTATTTTATTTAATAAAAAAAAAATTATAGGTACAATAGGATAATCTTTAATTAGATGTATCATGTCATTTGCTTCAAAATAATTCTGACTAGTAGAACAACCAATGCTCAGCACACTATGATCATAAAGAGTTATTTCATATTTTATTATTATTACCTTTTGTAAAAGGGCATAATCTAATCCTTTTACTAAATGAGTATGTTCCATGTCACCTCCTAAGAATTTAGATTGTTGAATCATTTGTCTTCTACGTTCTGCTGCATCCATGCCTGATTTTAAATCAGGGGCAACAGCACGATATGCGCTAGCACTATTCATAGGATCTTCTGCTTGATAGTCTTGATTAGTTCCATCTCTGCGCTCTCTTGCTCTATCTCTATATTTTTCAGCTAACTCTGCCATTTTATCTTCCTCTTGTTTCTTTAATTTAGCATAAAAACTCTTTTTCTTTCTACGTAACTCTGCTCTACTACCTCCGGTAACAAGAGGTGTTTGAGCAGTTTTAGCACTAGCATCTCGAGCTGTGCCTGGAACTGAAGCTGGTGTAGCTGAAGGAGCAGCTGCTCTTGGTGTCATCAATAATTTTCGAAAATCATCGTTCGTTAAACGAACTGACATACTCATATCTTCCTCCGTTGTATCCGGCATTTTTATTTAATGTATTTATTCTAGCCTACAAAGTTGAAGTTTTATTAACATAGATATGTAAAATGCATACTCTTAAATAAATAATAAGATCACACAGATCTTGTAATATAATTTATTAATGTTATTATTTTATATTATATAATATTACCTTTGGTTATTAATAAAATAAAAGTATTAATTTAAACTTTGTATTAATACAAATTTTATTTGATATAATAACAGGTAAGCACTTTTCGGTCCTTTATGTGATATGACGCTTACGTAAGAATTATAACACTATTCTAATTTTTAGCTTCAAAGCTAAAAATTTAAGTAAATAGCAAGAATATCTAAATATTATCGATTTAACGTGTATTATCTATTTTACATTAAAAAGAAAAGGTGCACATTGAGTTTTTTATTTTGGAGTAAATTTATTTGTATATATGTCGTAATCCAAGCTTGGCATCTTGATGTCACAAAACCCCCCATCAGATGTTTTAATCTTTTTCCGTTCGAACGAAAATCAGTTTAGTAAGAATATAGTGATAAGTGAAAGAAGTACATTGTGCATAATTCAAACCATAAAGATATTTTTATCGTAATTATTATGATTATTATTGTTCTTTGCTTTATAATAAAGTTTATGTAAAGACAAAAAGCAAATAACTTCATAAGTCCACGCAAAGCAACCACCAATCAAAAAGCTACAGCGATTGCGCAAGCTAACTCGTCATTGGATAAAATAATAGAATCTCCAATGAGAAGAAAAATTAAATTGACTTTCTTATATATATAATATAGATATTAAATTCTTTTGTTCTTATAAAATAAAAATTATTGACTCAGAAAAAGGAAAAAAAAATTAATTGTCTGCTGTTATATGAACTGTCATAGGTTTCTTCTCGATATTGCTATTTGGCGGTAAAAAATAATTATTCAAATGAACGAAAATTAACTTCTCTGAATTTGATGTATCTTAATATTTAATTATTCAAAATATTCATTTTTCATTTATAATTATTTATATACTTCATATATTTTTAAAAAGACCTATCAACAAATATTGTTAGTATCACTAACGCAATATGTTTGCTGTATGCAAGATACACTATGTAATTTAGGCTCTCCGAATTCAAGATTGCTAACATAAAATGGAAACGAAGGGATGCCATTGCATGCTGCTCCAAATTGACCATCCTTATTTAATGCAATAACTCCACCAGTAAAGTGAGGATAATGTTCGGCAATTCTACGAATAGCTGTTTTAGCTGCGTCTACGGGCGTGGCACCATGACGCATTTCTTCTACTGCAAGAAAACTAAAAAAATAAGAAAAAAATAAAAAGACATAACATTTTAATTATTGTATCACTGCATTTTCTTAATAATTTAATATACAATTATAATACCTGGGCAAGAACCGCATCATAATATCTCCATCACCAGTACCAGCAGCTGCACCAACCTGTTGATCGGCATATGCACCTGCACCTGGTATAGGAGAGTCCCCAATGCGACCCGGAATTTTATGTCTTGCGCCATTGGTGGAAGTTCCAGCAGCTATATGCCCATTTTTATCTATTGCTATGACTCCTATTGTATCATGATTTTCTTCATTTGTATATGATACTTTTCCATTCTCTTTTTCTATAAATGTATCCATAATATTATTTTGTTTGTAAGGGCCACAAGTGGTTTTTGGATTTGGTACAACATTCTAGAAAAAATAATACTAATGACTTAAAAATTAAACTTTGTTATAAAATATTATGATTCATGGAAAATGTATGTTCAAAATCTGTGATCAGAATTATGCATAAGTAAAAGAAACCTTCCAAAAATTGGGTTGGCATTGATTGTCTTTCCATTTTTTCCACATATCTTGGGATTCATTAGTTCCTAAAGATTCTGACTTAAATCCCATTTGTATAGCAAAATTTGTAGCAAGACTTCCACCAAGCAAAGAATGGTCTGTATGCTCTAACACTTTACGAGCAACGGATATAGCACTTTTAATATTTCTTAACCCTCCAACACCACCCACATCCATTTTGAGACTGTTACAGTTTATATCAAGTGAGTAAAAATATAAATACAAAATTTTATATTAACAAATAAAGAAACATATTAATAATTGTACCCATCCATGATCATAGCGTCCAATGTTGTTTCTCCTGATTCATCTGGACTACCACCGAATCCTACGGTTTTACGACATTGCATTTCCTCACATAAAGAACAACTAGCTTCAATTGCATCTAAAGCACTTTTCCCTTCATTATTTAAAACATCCCATGCTTAAAAAAATAACTTGGTCAATTTATAAGTTATATACATAAATCTTATATTCTTATAATGAAATTATTCATAGATATACCTTTCTCTGTAGCATCTTTATAATCCCAAGTTATAACTACTAAAGGAATGTTTTTATTGGTATCTGTTAATATGCATGAAAATAATGAAAATATTGTAAAAATAAAAATTGCAATATGCTTTGTAGAATACATCTTGAAATTATTAAACACAAACTAAATTTAATCACTGTGCAGTCATCTTTTATAGTACTTAATCTTTGACCACTGAAAAAATAAAGATATTAAAAATCTAAATATAATAGCGATATTATGTTAAAATATTAGTACTGACCAATAAATGATAACTTGTAGCTGTCAATGACCTGTAATCAGTAGTAATACTAATAAATAACTGTAAGATTATCTCTGGAGTTACACGTACATGTGTGTAGTAATATTATTACTATACTACGTTTATATATAATTTTATACCAAAAACTATATATTTAATAATAAATAAATAGGATTTTATATAAAAAATCTCTACCATTTTCTATATATTATCTAATTATACTTTAATCATATATGTATATTTATCTCAATAATTTTAATTATCAATATCAATAAATTTTATCATTAAATAAATGTTTAAAAAATTACGATAACAATAAAATAAATGTAACAATATAAATAAAATTAAAAAATACGCGCGTTTTTCGAACTGCCTTATTATATGTTGATTGACAATAAATATTTCATAAAAATACACGAGTTAGTATATATAATTCTTACAAATGGTTTCAATATTTTCTTTTAATTGATAATTTTTTTATAAGGTTTTTTCAAAAGATTTGAAGATCATCGTCGATAATTTTACAATCGATATTGAACAAATAGGTCAAAAATCTCGATAATTCTCGGATATTTTGTGTCCATTTAGCAGAAGCTGTGATGATAATTTATAAAGATATGTGCCTAATTCGTGAAGTTGAAATTAATTAACAAGAGATAGACTTATGTATTGTCATTATTATTGACTATAATTAAAAAATACATTAATTCAAAGTCATTAGTAATCGAATGTTTTTTTTCGAAAACTTAACCTAAAATTTGTATTAGTGTTATTTCATACGTATTACTCCATCGTTACAATGTCTTTTAAAAAGGATTTGAAGTTACTTTTACGTCCATATTATCTAATAAATATTATTCTTAGTATTTCTTATATCGTTGCTAAAAGACTTCCTTTAATTTGTCATTATATCTTCGCACAATCAGAGTGTGAACTTGATGGGGTATGTTATAGAGAAGTATATATTTTCTGTTAATTATAAAGAAATTAAAATTAAAATAATTTTTTTATTTTATATTTTCAGAAAGAAACAGAAATCTTATTTTTCCTCATGATAGTAATAATGATAAGGACAAGAAAAACTGGAAGCGTAACTATGATTAATTATTTGTCATCCAGTTTTGTTTACACAAAGGTAGCCAATTTGGTCTTGTGGTTTTATGCCGATATACGGATGGGAATTTTGTTTGCAATTATTTTTATTCGTAAGCATTTGAGAAAAAATACATGAAATTTTTCTTTTTTTTATAAAATTAAAAAATATATGATAAATATCATTAGACGTATTTGAATTTATAGTATGTGGTTTAATACTGCCTGAACCTACATATCAAGGACCAGAAAATGTTATTTATTTGCGTGGTGCAAATGGATTAGAAGAAGAATTAACACGCGATACTAAAATAGTTTGGGTTGTAGCATTTTATACTGCGTGGAATCCCTCTTGTGTTAACTTTGCCCCAATTTTCTCTGAACTCTCTGCAGAGTGAGTATATCTTGAATATACAAATGTTTTTGTATATTGATATATTAAAAACAAGAATATATGATACAGGTATGGTCTGGACAATTTAAAATTTGGTAAAGTGGATATAGGAAGATATCCTGATGCAGGTGCTAAATACCACATTAGTGATGCTAGTACCAGCAAACAATTACCTACCGTGATACTGTTTAAAGATGGAAAGGAAATAGAAAGAAGACCACATGCTGATCATAAGGGCAAACTCGTTAAATTCCTTTTTTCTATGGTATACATTAATTTAAATAATTTTTAATATTTATCTATAAAAGTATAGTAATATAATACATATTCCTATATGATTGTAATTTTTTCATCTTTTTATAATCGGAATATTATTTTTACAGGATAATGTAAAAGCAGCATTTGATCTCAACAATGTCTATAGAGAATGTAAGAAGAGTCATACTAAAAGAAAAGAAAAAAAAGCAATAAAAGCTGAGTAATACTATTTAAATATTTAATAGTGTAAGAAAATAGTGAACTTTATTGGAAATGGTTTCTACTATGTAGAAAACCATTCAATATAGTCTTTATAAACCAAAGCTTAATTCAAAACAAACTTTAAAGCTCTGTAAATATTTCCATTATATCCATTATTGTTTTAAAAAGTTTTTATAACAGTCAAATTTGCTGTTACATTTTTATTGTTAATCTGTTGCATATAAATTTTCTTTAAATGCATTTATCAATAATCAATTGCTTGTTATGAACGTATTAAAATACATAATGCACACATAATTTATCTGTACAAAATTTTTTAGTATTCATATACTTTTCATGAAAATTTATTTATAATATTAAGTTACCAAATGTATAATGCCAATTAAAAAATGATCAGCACCTAATTATATTATTTCGTTATTAACATATTCGTACATTACAAATTTACAAGTTTACAAATGGACAATATAAATTATTATATTGGTGGCCATAATGAAACTATTTCCGAATGTGTCGATTCAGGTAACCACTTTTGATAAGCAGATAAAAGAACTAGAAAACAATAAAATTAATAGATAAACATTAAATTAAAAATTAGTATTGTGTTAAAATATATATACTTACAGATTTTATCTTTATCCCAAACTTCTATTAATTTACATTTTGACATAACTCCTTCTGACAATAATGTTTTTGTTATTGCTTCTGTACGTGGTAATAATCTAAAAGACAGTTTTTATTTACTAATTTATGATATTAACTAATAAATTGCAATATTTAAGGTAATATACAAAAACATACTTAGCCCACGATTTGTTTACACTGCTTGGTGTTGATAACAAAATAGGTACAAATCTTTTTAATTTTGGACACACTTCACCTTCTAAAAAGAACCGTGCAAACCATTTTACTCCTTCTACGTTCATTGGATATTCTATTTCTATCATTGGTAATTGCCAACCAGCTCGACCAAATGTGCCTGTTATATGACACAAAACTTTTCCAGAATGAAGATCATATCTAGATTAAAATCGTATTTTATTGAATGAATCAATGACTTATTAAAAAATTCATATAAGATTTTACTGACAAGTATAAATATTACAAGTTACATTCTATGAGAATATAATACTGACCTTGGAGAAGGTTCAATCAGAGGCTCGCTTAATGTACATAAGGTTGGAGCGAACTTCGGAAGCCATTCTGGTTCTATTGCGGTTACACCACGCATATATAATTTATTAGTTTCATATATCTCTTGATAAACAACCCATTCTGGACTTGTCTTCCGAAGAACACACGACGAATGCATAAATACAGGGTCTTCCATTTCTACAGTTCTGAAAATGTACTATATTAGTAAAGTAAAATAAAAAACATTTTTATATATTTACTTATAAGCATGTTTCCATTTCGTTTTATCTTGATCTTCAACCTCATCTGAAAGTACTTTCCGCGCGACTTGATCTGCCATACCAGCAAGAAGTATTTGACGCAATAATTTTGTTTGTATATCCGTAGGTGGAGACATGCTATATCAAACAAAAAGAAATGCAGAAAATATTTGCTTTGTTACATTTGGTTCTTAAATAGTACTTACTTTGGATCGATAATAAGATTTATGTTCGGCACATTTAAGTTTATTTCGTTAGTCAGTTGCTGTCTGAGTTTTTTAATTTCTACAACTGCTTTATGACGCAAACCATTTTCTTCACAAAAAGGTATAAGCTTTCCTTTAAACCCTGCATATTCAGCAGCTCCAATAGCTTTTATTAAAACCATTGGATCACCTTTATAGTTAAATAACATACATTACATTAAAACAAATACATTAAGGGATAAACATTGTAATTATATTATAAATATAAAATTATTTTATAATATACATACCAAGAAGTAAACTATTCCCAATTCCAGCCCAAATACGCCGCGTTTGCAACCATTTATTTTTTAATTTACCTTCCATATTAAGAACTTCTATTAATACTTCTTGAACAGAAAGAGCTGCAACCATACAAATTGTATATTGCAATAAATTATGTTGATACGACAATGCTAACATTTTGCCATATCGAGGAGCAACTGGGAATGCAGCGATGCTCCGTCCAAGTGGAGTCACTTTTGCGTTAAATGCATCTAAAATATGGTGATAATAGTTAATGAAAATGAACACAACAACTAAATAATCTGAAATCATGATTTGTTTTACCTTCTTTGTAAAGAGAAGACTGTTCTAGTGCACCTAGAGTTAGAAGACGTGTTTCGGCTATTCTTAGTTGTAAAGGATCTGGCGCAGTTGGGAATGGAAAATTAACAACTTTATTAATATTCATAACTTTCATTTGTAAAACTAAATCATCAATTGGTTTTCTTTGAATCTCAGACATACTAAATTGTGCAAATTGATCATTGAAAATTGCAGAAGAATACAATCTAAAAACAAAAAGAAATTAATAAAAATGATATACTCATGTAGTTTCTAAGTGTTATATATTGTTAATAAACTATAATACATATTATTGTGTTACCTATAACAATGACCAGCTGCCGTTCTGCCAGATCTACCTGCTCGTTGATTTGCAGCAGCTTTGCTTATATAACAAATATGATATGTACTCACACCAGTAACTTTATCATACATTCTCATTTTGCATCGGCCGCAATCGATGACATATTTGATATTAGGTATTGTTAAAGAAGTTTCTGCTACGTTCGTTGATACTACACATAAACGACAATTTTCTGGAGGTTGTTCAAAGACCTGTAAAAAATATTGCTCATTTATTTCATTATTAAAATAATATTGTATAATTATTAAAAGTTTTTAAATACCCTTGCTTGTTTATAACTAGGTAGTAGAGAATAAAGTGGTAGAACCCATAGTGGTTGTGTATTTGATAATCCTTTTAAAAGGAAAGCATCTTCATCTTCGCTCTCATCTTCATCTAAATTGCCTTCCTCATCTCCACCTCCAATATCAACAAAATCTTCATGCGTATCATCCGTAGGCATTACCGAATAACTTTAAAATTATTTCAAAAAATATTTATAGCTCTTTATATATCCATTACAAATTACTTTAAAGTTATATATATAAATATAAATAAAAATTCGTATGTATACATACTTATCTAGATCAATACGTGGTAAATTAAAAAATTGTTTTTTATGTTGTTGTTTATTTCGTTTAATTGCTTCTTTGTCATCGAAATCATCATCAGAATTTTCTTCATCATGATCACTTGTATTTGTTTCTTTGTTTTCTTCAATTTTTGCTTCTAATGAATTAGTTTTATCTTTTTTAAATGGAAATGCTTTACGTAACTTACGTACAACTGAATTTACTTCTTGTTGACCTACATTTGTTAAATAGTATAATATTATGAAAATATTTACTATATATAAAAAATATAACGATATTTGACATAAAATATAAAAAAAATACCTGTTAAAAATATAAGAATGCCTCCTTCTGGTAAACGTGTATGAATTTTTATTGCTTTTCTTAAAGCATCACTGACATAATCCTCACTGGTTCTTCTATTAAAATGTATTGTTACAGGAAATTGTCTTGACTCTACTGTTATTACTGGGGGTTTCACTTTAAACAATTTAGAATTTTTAACAAATTCTTCAATGCATAATGTTGCTGACATAATTATAAGCTTAAGTGGATTTTTCCTTTTGTGACGCAGTGGTACAATACGGGACAATAATCCTATTAAAATATCAGTATAAACACTTCTTTCGTGTGCTTCATCCAAAATTATCACAGAATACTTTGTCAATAGAAAATCCTAAAAAAAAATGTATGTATTTCTTACAATTTTTATTTATTATAACGTATTGATATAAGTGTCATTACATACACTTTGTATTTCCTTTAATAAAACTCCATCTGTCATAAATTTGATTTTTGTTTCTGGTGTAACATTTCCTTCAAAACGTATAAGATAAGAAACTTCCTTTTCAGTAAGATTCATTTCTTCTGCTACTCGTTTACTCATAGACATTGCTGCTACTCTTCTAGGTTCTGTTACACCAATTAATTTATTTCTTGCATAACCTGCTTCATATAAAAATTGGGGTACTTGTGTTGTTTTACCTATAATCAATTGTTTAAATTAATATTTTCATATAATAATTATTTTTTTTAACTGTAATATTTTAATAACAATGTTATGCACATACCACTTCCTGTTTCTCCAGTAATGATTACTACTGAATTTTCATTAATAGTTTCTACAATAACTTGTTCATCTGCTACAACTGGTAATTTTAATCTGGCTGCTTGAATTTCTGCTTTTCTATTCAATGCAACATAAACTGCTGGTGTTTTAGTAGTATTACTCGTAGCTAAAGTATTTTGGGATACTTTTACTTTTGATTGCACACCTGGTAAAATCTTTTCATGTTCATTTTCAACAGATTTGATTTCTTCTAAATTAATATTTTCTATTTGTGATTTGTTCCTTTCCACTTCTTCTTTTATATAATTTTTTTCATTCATATTATCAATTTCACTTTTCTGTTGTTTATCTTGCAGATCATTTTCATTCTCACATTCACCACTACTACATTCAGATTCATTCTCACTAGAATCCTAATAAAAGTTATACTTTAATACACCTATTCATATCTGTATCTAGAATTTATATCTATAACTTACGTCAAATCCAACCGTACTTAAATCTGATTTAGAAAACTCCTGTTTCTCATTATTAAGTATAGACAGTCTTTTTCTTTTTCCCCCTTTAATCGCATTTAAACCAGATTCTGTATTATTTATTTCACATTCATCAATTGGATTAATTAAAGTTTCTGTAGTAGATACATTTAAATCTCTAAAGTGACGTTTCAATCCTTTTGTTTGTACTGCAGTCAAAGAAACATATTTCTTTAATTCTTCCTGTGGAGCTTGTACTTTAGCTAATTCTTCTAATAATGTTGATCGCTGTTCAGAATATACAAATATTATAGATTTTATATAGACATTATACAGAATTTGTATTTAATAATAAGATTTTATATTTTATAGTTTACAACTTACTTGTAATTTTTTTTGTTTCTTTTCTACTATTTTTTCTAATTGCTTTCTACGCTTTTTAGATAATATACGTGTTACTGATATCTTTTTTTCTTTATTTTTAGTATTTCTTTTTTTATTTGGTAGTACCAGAGCATTACAATTATCGTAATTATCTTTTCTATATTCGATATCTAAAGGTATCTGTAAAAAAGATTGGAAACATTTGTAGTAAAAAAAAACAAGAAGTAATACAAAATTATTTTCAAAATAAAAATACCTTTTTCGTTTCATTATTATCTATTTCCATGTCAGAAATATTCCTTGCTTTCCAATTGTATCTTTTCTTTCCCATTTTTTTAATTAAATTCTATTGTATTTAGCCACTTATAATAGTTATTACAGAAATAATTGAATAAATAATTATTTCACACACAGAATAATATAAAAATAATTTAAAAGTTGAATCTTTCATCATCCACACAAAGTTACATTGCAAGGTGTGTAATACCATGTGCTCTCCTACCACTATTTACAATATTGAAAAATATAGGTTATGTTCGCATCATGCTTTTTATTCCTACTAATTCCGCTCTCTATTTTAAATCAATTAAATAGTTATTAATAATTAATAATCAATGATAAATAATTTAAACGATTCAATGACAAATCGGATAGACATGAAAAAATTAAAAATAATAATAAAGTTTATTTTAGCGGAAAACTCAAGAAAAATCATATCAAATTATAACTTTAAAATTTCATATTTTTGCTACCTTTAACAAATACATATGGAAAAATATAACTTTTTATATTAAAATGGTTAAGAAAATAAAAAAGAAAAAGAGATTAATTTAAATATAATCATAAATGTATATTATATTTACTTTTCAAAAGAAATGTAAAAATGTACATAAAAGAATGAAGTAGGGTAATCAATGGATACACTTAAAAAATTCAATCTACCATTAAATCATTATTTATTTAGTTGCTTTATTGTTATATGTCATATAATAGTTTTGTATCATATATCGCAGTTATCATAAATCAAATTTGAAAATAGGCTTTAAATTATAACAATGTATCTTAGAGAATAATTGAAGCGCTCCCTGGAATATAGGTCAAAGCCCTCGTATGATTTTTCATGAGCTTAATTGAAACTTATACGGGGACCGTTTCAATTATAGTATCGTCGTTATGTATTGAACACTTGCCGAAATCCCCGCCAAGAAAGATTTTCAAATGTTCAATTAAAATGAACATTTCATATATCGAGTGTATCTATATTATTTAGTATATCCTACTAGTCCAGCCGAGACAGCAGGTGACACATTCCTATGCACCTTCCTTTCCTCTAGTTGTTTTTTTTTTCTTTTTTTTTAATAATAATCATAATATAATAATAAACATTACCACCACAGCAATAATAGTATTATAATAGCACTGTCGCTAGGACACGCTCAGTTATATTACGTGTTGGCGGTCCGCTACCACTTTAATGATGAACAGTATTCATTGATCTGAATAGGATTCAGTATACGTAATATAATGTATTATTAATACAATCTTATATGTTGGTTTTTGCCAACATCATTGCTTACGTAGATTGGGTTTTAAGAGCCTGGTCATTTCCTTGCGTTGTGCTCAAGTATAAATTTCTCTTTGCTAACAGTCATACGATAATCTGTGCACGTAATAAACTGTCACATGGTGGTGGTTATTATCTTGTTAATAAGGACAATCTGAAAATAATATATCCGTGTATGCTTGTATCAGCGAATGGTGAACTAAAGCCCCGAACTAGCATAGTCATTGAATATTGCCAATGCAACACCAACGTGTGTTCGTTGCAATCTATACAATCAGTTCGCTATAGGTTTTTCATTATCATCGCTGCTAACAATGATATTGAACATGAGTTTTATAGAGCGCAGTGGAATTATAGTACTAATAGCATCAATTAAATGATTATGAGCGAGTATAGAGGATATAACAGGAAGAACGAATATATCGATTATACGAAATTACATAGGATTCTGAACTCCCACTTATTTTTATCAGTATCTTCCAGCATATGGTTGTATTCAAATTTTAACGCAAAGCCATGGAATAAACACGACTTTGTGAAATTCGCGAAAATGTTTAATGCTTATATCGCGTCTTTTATATATTAAAGAATTATCAATAACAGCATACTTATATTCAATGAAACTAAAAACATATAAGAATACAGAATATAGAATACAGAATAGTAGAGAAGCATCAAAGAGACTGCTGATAATGATGAAATAATTGATCATTGGCAAAGTCTTACGTGTTATGTAGGATTTACTACCGTCAAAATCAAAGCTGAACATTTGTCTCTGGTGCATGTGTATTACAAGTGTGCATATTTGCATTATAATATACGCGCACACGTTGCATCGAATGGTAAAGAATATTATATTCGTATTTCGCAAATTGGCAGAGTATTCCAATGACAGAGTAACAGAGTCACCATCATCAACATCGTTTCGATTCTTGTCGGTTAGTTCTAGAGCGTGCTACTACCGGCGCTAAGGATCGACTTATGAACGAACGAAGTAACTTAATTGTTACATTACTTTCTGTTTTGTCGATCCTTCGCCGTCGTTGATCTGTTTATGCCGTATTCAATATTTATCGGATAATTACTCTAGATAATAGCAATAAGCTGTAGTAAGGATTTGCTATCTTATCTTCTACCATGACAAGTAATATTGGATCTGTAGTTTAATGAATATAATAGGTAGTAATGTAGTTGATGTGCCTAGAAACAACGCTTCGTTATGTCAGTTCCATCTATCGCTACTTTGAATTGCGAATCTATTTCTCTTCATCCAGATCAGACGATAAAGAAACATTATCTTGAGATGAGAGATCTTTGTTTAATGAGTCCATTTATTCCACCCCTAAAAAGAGAGAATAACACAAAAAATTATAATATGTGAGCATACATATTGTTTTTAATTACAATTAAAATATATTACGATAATGAATGTGTAAAATTTATTATACGATTAAAATTGTTGAAGTTATTTCTATAGCGTATGTACCTGAACGAAGTACGCCATTCTATATATCACGAAGAAATAATTATTGATCTTATGATATTTATAAATTGATTATCAAATATAAATCGAAAATGTATAAAAATACCGGATGTTGTTTGTCTTGGACAGCATCAGGAATTCCCCAAGAGGGAGCATCTAATTTCGTTGGTTCAGTAGGAGGCATTTCTGCTAGTCCAGGTGCCCCAAATTGTCCAGGCAACAAAGTTAAACCTGGCATTAAAGATAAAGTGGCAGCACTTCCATTAGGAAAAGGTTGTTGAGCGTCCACATGACCCTATACAATTACGAAAATAATCATAAAATAAATTATTTTCTAATAGAAGATTTTCATTGACAAATCTACTAGTAGTTAAAATAAATCATAGATATATACCTGGAAGGAAGATTCCATCATTTGATGAAGTTCGGCATCAACATTAGATATACGGTTGTAAGTAGCATTTGAACGAAACATCTGATGCCTATCTATGCCAGGAGCTAAACTTGCCCAAGATCCCACTAGTTTTTCGTTATTAAGCATCCAATTGAGGGATTCGGCATCACCACCAGGTCCCATTCCTGTAGCTGTATAATTCTTCCACGCTCTTTCCGTACCAATCGGCCGCGGCACTTTTCTATCTTCTATTTTCAATTGATTAATTTCCTGAGCAACCTGTGCCGGTGACGATGGTGATATTGTTGGTGAGCCTCCATTTTCCAGACTTGTAATTAAGTCTATACTACCAGGTTGTGCGGTCATATTTGCCATATGATTCGAAAAACTAATTTGTCCCATCATTGGATCCTGATGCGGAGGATAATTAGTATGAGGAGGTGCAAATGGCCAACGAGTTTGACCATTTGCCGAGATGCCAGTACTAGGTGTTCCACGTGATGGAGCTTGATATTTTCCTAGAGGGAAATTACCCAGCATGGCTAAATTATTGGTTTGCATCGCGGATGGAGGAGGTGCTGGTACGGTAGCAAACATATTGGGATGAATTCCTGATCCTGTGTTAAACATAGTCACTTGAGGCTTGCTACTCAAGTGCAATGAACTAGAGAAGTCGGGCGCTCTGGGGTTCAATCTGGACATACTAACGGTAGTATTTACAGAAGCAGACTGTGGTATAGTCTGTGTATAACTTTGCATATGAGGATGAAAGGGTAATAAAGGATGCGCTGCTTGCCCTTCGTTTGGTACCATTTTAAGTAAACTCGAATTTACGCTTGGATGTTCGTAACTGCCATTATTAGTTTTGAATAGACCAACGTCTAGCGTAGGCTGAGACGTAGAGGGCATAACGTGTGGCTGATGCGTTGTCGCGTTCCGGGTTGTAAGATCACCTTGAAAGACTGGCCGATTAAATTGCGTGATTGTCGAACCCATTTCCATACTTTGCTGAGGAATCACTGGTCGAGCTACGGCTAAACTACCCGGTGGCTTATTCGGAAGAGGATGTTCGTTATAATTCGCGGAGGATTGGAATTGAGGAGGCTGTATTGGATTATGTACGGAGGATGAGATACCACCGCCTATGGCATTTCCAGACGTATTCGTTACGCCGCTAGATTTACTTGAAACGGGAGAACACATAGCTGTTCCTCTGTAACCTGGTGCCTTAGATGCATCCACCTATACAAAGTAAACAAAGGTCGAAATAAATTATATCTTTGTCAAAAATTTAGCAACCGATTATTATCATATTACTAATGACAGAAATTCCTGGTAAGTTCTATTGCAGAAGTATTCAACAAGACAATATGCTAACCTGAGGTGGAACACTATCGATGAATTTGGATGTCGATGAGCCAGATGTATTTACTGATACTCCACCTCCTGCGACCGTGGCGAAGTTCATACTTTTTTGAGATTCATTTTCTCTGCCACCCCACATTGATTGCTGTGTCACTTTTGTGAAACTATCATTAAATAGGGAATACTCAAGTGGTGCATTGTTCGGTTGTTGCTGCTGCTGCTGCTGTTGTTGTTGCTGTTGTTGCTGTTGCTGCTGTTGTTGTTCTTGCAATGTAGGCGCAATAGGAGTAGAACTACGCACTTGCTGTTGCTGCTGTTGCAATTGCTGTTGTTGTTGTTGCTGCTGTTGTTGTTGTTGTTGTTGTTGTTGTTGCTGCTGTTGTTGATGTTGTTGCTGTAAGTTTTGAGCTTGCGATACAGCAGGCGGTGAGGGTGTTACACGTACAGAATTAGCAGAAGTTGACACCACATTGGTTTCCGAACAGGTCGACGTTACGTTTATGCCAGACGGAGTTACACTTGAGCCAGACGAATAATTAGGTTTTCCAGTATAATGAGGTGCAATAGTTGGCGGGGCAGACAATGTAGCTAGTGGTCGGCAGTGCTTTGGCGATGTACTAACTAGAGACTGTTGAGAAGATGTCTGAGCTGTACCTGCGGCTGTGGCCGATACTATGGTCACAGTGTTGGCTTGTAGAGACTTTTGCTTGTTTACAGTAGTATGAGTCGATTGCATGACAGTGGTAGAAGTATGTGTCGAGGCAGTGATCTCAGAAAGTTTAGCTGCAAACGTTTGCGTGGTACTTGTTGTTACAATTTTTGTTGCCCTTCCCGCTGTCATGATTGCGCTGGTATAAGACATTGTTGTCTTCGTATTTGATGATGAAGCCATTTGGGCAGCTGCAGCTTGTGCACGTTTTTCAGCTACGAATGAATCAATGTAGTTATTATTAATGTATTTATATGACGGATAAATACAATACACAGTTGATCGTATTTATATTGCACTTGATTCATTTTCGATTTCTATTTTTTTTTTAAACTAAATGGCTGATATTTCTCACAGTGCATTTGATAAATATTTAAATAAGATGATTATTCTTAATAAGAAATTTTTAACTTACCTGCAGCTACTAATCTAGGCGCTGTAGCCCTTGGTAAAGATGTTGGAAAGGCACCGGCAAGTTTAATAGTGGACGCGCTCCGAAGAGGAATCAGCTGATTGACGGTGGATACTCCCGATGTGTATCCTGATTTGTTCGATTGAGGATTACTGGTAGTAGATCCCAAAGTAGTAGGCTTATTTACAGGACCAACTTTAGCCTTCGTTGCCTATAAATTTATATACGAATTTATTAGAAAAAAGATATTTATTTAATTTAATGAGATTTTTTTTACACGAAATTATGAAACTTACGGCAACAGTGGAGACAGCTTAATGAGGTTTTTTTTTTTTTACACGAAATTATCAAACTTACGGCAACAGTGGAGACAGCTTTATCCCAAGATGAAGTTGTAACAACAGTAAGTTTGGACTTTGGCAGCATTTGCAGGATATCAACATCTGGATCTTTTATAAGTGCTGCAATTAGTGTGTGTGCTTGTTTTGTAGCATCAGACGATCCTCTACAATTAAAATAATATATATATATATATATATATACATATATGTAGAATGTGTATACATATTAAATGCAATTTTTTTATTTAAAGACATATTTATATTATACAAAATTATGCTTATAATACATACTTGATAGTAATTATTCTTTCTCCTTGAGACTTGCTTTGTTTTTCTACTTCAATATGAGCACCTGTTGCACCTCTAATGGCATTTATATTACTTCCACCTCTACCAATTACTCGACTAATAGCGTTTGGTGGCACTGAAACTTTTTTAGAACGGAAAGGAGAGTTCATGAATCTCCCCGAATCATCAGATTGGCCCCTGTTAAAAATAATATATAATTTATTTATCTTCCTTTTTAAAAATAGAATTTATTATTATCCAAGTATAATCAAATATCAGTTAAAATAAAACGTTAATATAAACTTAAAAAAGTGTAATAGGAAGAAATAGACATTAAAGTATAGGTATATGATAATCAGATGTAATCTTGAATAACTTACTTGCGTACAACTTCTTTCCAACCTTCCTCGCGTTTACCTCCTTGTTTTGGACTAGTCGTATTAGTTGCTTTTGAAGATGTATTTAAAGAATCCCCATCATATTGATTACTGTAAGGTTTTTTCCCTTTTCCAGGTATATACGTTTCATTGCCAGTGGCCTCAAAATCTTCTCTATCAGCTGGATGCCTTGATGACTCAAATACCAATTGTCCTTTCAGTTTACGTTCTCCACAATTGACAGAGGTTCTTGTACTTGTGGTCGAAGCGGAAGTCATAGATGTTGCATTGGTGACATTACTCAAATTTCTTCTATATAAAGATCAAATAAAAATGATATACTCGGATATGAATTATCATACTTAAATTTTGTCATTTAAATCATTAATAGTTAAATAAAAAAGAAGAAAAATATTTTACATCTAAAGGACTTATAATTAATTACGAAAAGTGAAGTGTATACTTACTTTTCGGAAGTACTATTTTGTGATTTAGTAGGTGTTACAGTATTCTGAGGTAAGGAAGTATTCTGCGTGATAATAGATTTAGATGATCGTTGTGGGGAAGTATCCTTGTCATTGTTACTAGGACTATTACTTTTTTTCTTTTTCTTATCTTTTTTCTTCTCTCTCGCTTTGACATCATTACTACTACAACTACCTTGACTGTTTGCATCAATACCACTATCACCTTCCTCCCTATCAGGATCTTCCGGGTTTCTATTAACAGGTGATGGTACACTGTCCACTCTTTCACAACTATCGCCACCTTCGTGTTCACTATCTTCCGTTCTATCACATTCTTCGTCCACAGATTTTTTCTCATTTTCTTCCTTTTCATCAAAATTCGATTCGTTCTTTTTATATTCCTCATGAAGTTTTCGTCTTTCCTCTTTCTTTTCTAATTTCTTCTTTTTCTTCCTTTCACGTCTGCGAGCAGCTGCTGCCTTCTTCGATTCCTCCCTTGTCTTTTCCATATCAAGTTCCTCCAATAGTATTGTTGCATTCTTATTGGCTTTAGCAGCTTGAGTTTCTTTCGCAGCTCTTATTACTTTAACACACTCTTGACATTTTTCTAAAAGCTCTTTGTCGCTAATAGTAGCTATGTATCTTGTCATATCCTGATCACTCGGGAATTGTGTTACATGATTTACCATCCACTTGACCACTTTAATATGTCCTTTGCGAAATGCCGCCATTAAACACGATACCTGAATATCAAAACAAAAGAAGGAAAAAATATTTATGATCAAGAATTAAAAATTATCAAATATCATTCACTCTTAGCTTTTATTTATCTTTATATCTAATTTTTTTCTTTTACACATACACATGCTCATGCATATATAAAAATATTTTTTATTATAATATATTGTATTATGTTATACTATACAATACTTTACTAATAATATATACTATTTGTCTCTTTATAGAGACATCCATAAAAATTAACAAAGGTTAACTTTACCTTGCGATTGTCCTGAGAATCTATATCCGCTCCAGCATGATACAATAAATCTACTACGTTAAGATGTCCTCCATTAGCAGCAAGCCATAAAGGACTATTTCCTTTCTTATTCTTCACTTCAACTTGAGTTCCTCTGAAAAATTTTACATTCTAAGTTACTATCTGATCGTATGCAGTACATCTAAAGATAAACCTAAATACTAAAGATAAACCTAAATACTAAAAAATGTTTATAACAGTACCTCGATAGTAACAATTCTACGAAACGGCAGTGACCTTTGTCAGCAGCAATTGTAAGGGCAGTATCGCGAGATGATGGAACAGGAGTTGCATTAACATCAGCGCCTTTGGTAAGCAATACACGACCTACTTCAACGTAACCTCCACTAGCAGCTTCCATCAATGGTGTTAATCCCGTCTGTATATTAAAATATTTTACGCTTCATATGCTATATTATAGTATATGTATAATATATGTATAAAAAAAAAAACTACCTTAGCGCGATGTTCCACATTAGCTTTTCGATCAAGTAAAAGGCTAACAACTTCATGTCTTCCTTGGAAACATGCTAGTGTCAAAGCAGTATTACGATTTGTTTCTATTTGTGCATTAATATCGCTGCCCATATCAAGAAGTAATTTAACTGCCGCTATAATTTAAATTTAATCTATGCATTTATGTATATAGAGAAACATTATTTTTATTTTATTAATATATTAAATACATATATATATATATATATATATATATATATATATATTTATTTATCAAACTGCATACCAGTATGACCATTCATAGCAGCAAGCATAAGCGGAGAAATGCCCAATTTCGAACCAGTTCTTGAATTAATTTCAGCGCCATGGCTTAAAAGAAGCTTTATTATATTCACATAACCACCAGATGCTGCAAGACTTAATGGCGTGTAATCGGAAACATTGCGATGTTCTTTATTGGCACCACGGTTAAGAAGGAGCTCAACCACTTCGTATCTGCCTCCGCTACATGCAAGTGACAAAGGTGTATCCTTTGTACGTTCAGATTGGGCTTCTATGTCAGCTCCGTGATTAAGAAGAATTTCTACTACTTTTTGATGGCCAGCAGTAGCTGCTAAGATCAGTGGAGTAAAACCTTTTTTATCTCTATGTTCTGTAACATTCAGATATAGAACATATCAATTAATATGCATTCAGTATTAATTATCATTAAAAATGTCTTAGAAAAATATATAAATTTATTTTATTATTATCTATAATCATATAAGGTCATATATAATTCATTCATAATATTTATTCACTTTACCTATATCTGCACCACGACTTAAAAGAAGTTCTACGAGTTCTTCATGACCACCTGCACATGCCAATGTCAGTGCCGTGTCATGATTGCTATCTGTTTCCGAATCTACATCCATACATCCAAATGGCACTGGTGGTACTTGATTAGTAGCATAACCACCTACTGCTGGAACGCCGGTTGTATATTGACCAGCAGCTGGAATAAATTCACCATGAAAATATTGTAAAAAAAATAAAATAAATAAATTTTAATTAAAATTAATAATATCACATTTTTATTACCTGCTGCTGGATCTAATTGATAATTTTGTGCTGGAAAGTTAGGAGTTTGTTGTTGGCTAGTGGTAGTAGTTTGTTGTTGACAAGACTGTTGTTGAGAAAGAAGCGGATATCTTGCTTTCTTGCCTTTTCCTGTTGTAGGCGCTGTATAAACTTGTTTCTTGTCAGGAGGAATCACAGTTGCAACGGTGGTCGTTGCTGGTGCTTGAGTTTGCGTGGCAACTTGAACTTGATTTGTACTACAAACTGTAGATTGTACATAACCATTTGATTGATGTGGCATATTGTCCATTATTCCAGCTGCTCCAGTAATTGTGGGTAGTGTTTGGGTAGGAAATGCTTTTTGTAGAAAGTAAAATAAATATGTAAACATTTCATTAATTTACATACATGTATATTCCATAAGTTAAAATGTATGATAAATAAATAAATATTTAAGTAAGATAAAGGACTCACTTATTTGAGAAGACTGAAGTAGCAATTGCGACTGAAATGTATCATGGATGATCTGCTGTTGTCTTAATTGAAGACCATCGCGATAACCTTCTTGGTAAAGTCGAGCTTTCAATACTTGACTTTGAGCTATATCTGCTTGTATTTGGACTCCGGCACTTGTCACTTGTAAAGATGGTAGAGTAGGTAAAGAAACTGGTGGTACAGTGGGTACAGGACCAGCAAAATATTCTTGAGGTGTATGAGGACTGGTTACTTGTTGAATTATTTGGGCAGTTTGCAAAAGTTGCTGTTGGTTTTGTTGTTCCTTACTATTGGAAACTTCTAATCTCTTCAATTCGAGTTTCTCTTGATCTTCAGTTGCTGACAAATAGAGAGTTGCATTTGTAAATTGTTATATAAATTAAAGAACAATAATTAATATATAAAAAATAAGAAAAAGAACTCAATATTTACCATCCATAGTATCATCGAAACTAATGGAACGGAAAATTTCAAAAGCATCATCAAGAGGAATATCAGTTCCATCTTCAAGTTTTATTACTCTTTCGTTGTTAGAAAGTGCTTTAGCTTTTTGAGCAGCAGCAAAGAAAGGACAAGTTCCATCTCTATGTAATCTTGTTAATTGAGGATCTGTTGGTTCTGGAAGGTTCTGCTGAGATGTTGCTTGCTGAATAAACCCAAAAATTATTATATTGCGTAAAAAGTAATATTATTATAATATAATTACATAAAAATATTGAGAACCTTGTGATATATTAATTACGAAAATAAAATAAGAGGTATTGACATTAAAATTAATTTGTAAAGTAATTATATTTTAAAACATAAATTATATTTAAAACATATATTAGTTGATCTTTTTTTATATATAAATATGAATTTCATGTTTACTCTACTTTTAATATGAAGATACATCATACCTGATTATGAAGATGATGCGTATGAGTAGGATGAAGGTGCGACATCAATTGAGTAGGCAACAATACTCCTCCACCACTACCAGTAACAATGCTACTTTGTTGAGATTGTTGTTGCGATTGTTGCTGTTGTTGTTCTTGCGGTTGTTGTTGCTGTTGAACTTGCTGTTGTTGTGGTTGCTGCTGCTGTTGCTGAACCTGTATGTATTTTATAAGCAATTATAGTGAAGGCTTCTATATTTTTATATTATACATCGTTGATATTAAAATTACTTCAGCCTTACTGATAATTTAGCGTTCAAGCATGTTGACTGAAAAAAGTGAAAACATACAAACCTGTACTTGATCTAATTGCAATTGAAGTTGTTGGTTCAGTTGTTGTAATTGATGCACCTGTTGAACTTGATACGTATGGTGATGTTGTTGCTGTTGATATTGTTGCTGGAGACCAGCAATCAATGTCGCTTGTTGTTGTTGCATTTTTCCATCCGCCATACTAGATGCGGCTTTTCGGATATTTTTTCCCTCCTTTTTAGATACGGGCTTAGCTTTTGGGCGATCACTAATTGCAGTGTTCTGGCTAACATCACTACTTGCAGTAATAGGTTGAGAAATTGCCATAACCGTTGGCGGCGTTGAAATACTAGGTGGACTTGGTGTAGTCGTCGAGGATGTATTAGAAGTTACCAGAGTTATTGTTGATGTTGCAGGTATTGTAGCAAGAGATAATGGGGGAGAAGTAGGGAATTTATTTGCTGTAGAGAAAGACTCTTTTTTCATTGCACTGGCCATGCCAACTCTCTTTCCCTCAAGAAAGATATTGTAAAGGGTCATTGCATCAGGCGTTGCTGGATGCGTTAACGAATTTCCTGACATGCCAGTTGTACTGCACACTAAACCTTACAAAAAATTGAACATATCTAATATTTGTTCAATTTAACAAATAAAGCAAAAAAAAAATATTGAAATATTATAATAAATGATAATGGAAAAGTAGCAATACCATGAGGTGCAGTTGCTGGTTGAGCCGGTAAGTCAATATTGAGCATACCAGGTAAGAAAGTTTCAGGTTCATTACATTCTTGCTGTTGAACTTGTGGTTGCTGCGTAGATCTAACGTTGGCATTTCTTGGACCATTAAATAAATGACCTGCACCCTTGATTTGAAGTTCTCTTTCTACCCTCTATTAATCATAAAAAATTTTTTATTACATAATATTACGACATAATTCTTATATTTTTATAACAAATTTTAATTGCAAGCAAAAATTATTAAAAATTTACTTGCAACTCTTCAAGGATGTGTTGCTTATGTAAAATTTGCTCTTGTCGAGTGTTCTTTCTGCTTTCGGATGTATTCAACCCAGATGTTGGAGCTGGAGCAGGACTCAAACTGATATTCGGTGCGGACAAACTATTGAATCCTCCGCTACCTTTATCCAGAATGTTGGTATCATCTTTTGCTGTAACTATTGTTTCTGTTGCAGGTTGGGAACGGACTTGCTGTGCTTCAGCAGAGGTAAGACTTGTATCTGGTATTATGGTTGCAGATCGATTTTTTCTTAACAATGATTTTTGTGTATTATGTTTTGGTTGAAGATTCTGCACTTGTGATTGTTCTCCAGCTTGCTGTTGTTGCTGTTGTTGTTGATGTTGAGGTTGTGTAGGTGTTGGAGGCTGGTGCGATACATGCTGTTGCTGTTGCTGTGGTTGCTGCTGCTGCTGCTGCTGCTGCTGCTGCTGTTGTTGCTGCTGCTGCTGCTGCTGCTGCTGTTGTTGTTGCTGCTGCTGCTGCTGTTGTTGCTGCTGCTGCTGCTGTTGTTGCTGCTGCTGCTGCTGCTGCTGCTGTTGTTGTTGTTGTTGTTGAGGGAGTAACATAGGAGCAGGGGTAGTATTATGAGGTGCAGTCATCATAATACTATGAGGATAATCTAATAAAAGTTGGACTACACTAGTGTGTCCACCTTTGGCAGCTTCTATCAGCATAGTAGAATTATCCTAAGATATAAACAAAAATGAACAAACATATGTATAAATAAACACATATAAATAGAAAATATAATTTTATGCAAAATTTATATATCATTAATTATATACGTTAAGATTTTGATAAAAAACATACTTTGAGTCTATGAAATGGATCTGCAGATTGTGCAAGAAGCAGTTCAACAACTGGAAGATGACCTCCAGCACAAGCTAACGAAAGGGGAGTATGATCATTGTTTGTTGTTTGTCGATTAACATCAGCACGTTTGGAAATAAGAAACTGAGCAGTACACAGATGGCCTGCTCTACAAGCTTTCATTAAAGGAGTTCTACCTCCTTCAGATTCATGTTCCTAGATGAATAGATAAAGATAGATATGTCAACAATAAGGCATATAAAATGGTCAAAATTTTTGATTTTTATTATTGTTACACATACTAGGTCAGCGCCAAATTGTAATAAGAAATCAGCGACATCGGTATGGCCATTTTCACAAGCGTATGTTAACGCTGTATCTCCTGTTTGTGTTTGAGCATGAACATCGGCAGCAGATTCAAGTAAATATCGAACAAGATCCAAATGTCCTTCCTGTGCAGCTTCCATTAAAGGAGTAGATGCACCCAATTCAATATCAGCCCCTGCTTTAATTAAAAAGTCAGCTACTTCCAAGAAACCGCCGCAGCATGCTAAAGTGAGTGCTGTTTCTTGAGTTTCTTCTGTCTGAGCGTTGATGTTAGCACCTGTTCGTAATTTTTATATTTTATTCATATTGTTCCAATACAATGTTAACTACAATCATTTGAAAAGTTATTACTTATAATCAAGACATACCCTGACTTAAAAGCAATGCAACCATTTCTTCGTGACCCTCTCGTGCAGCTTCCATCAAAGGTGTATAACCCTCATCATTGACTTCTTCAATATTCGCTCCTCTTTCAATGAGAAGCATCGCAAGATCTACGTGACCTCCACAAGCTGCCAAAGTTAATGGCGATTCAAAACTATCTGTTGGCATATTTACTTGAGCTCCAGAATCTAAAAGTAAACGTGCAACTTCTACATGGCCATCCATAGATGCTTCCATAAGGGCAGTGTGCATTTCATCAGTTTTATGCTCCTAAAAACATCATTATATGTATGTATAGTACAAATAGGATAAAATAGTATAATTATATATTAAGTACATAAAAAAAAATTTTTTTTTTTAAGTAAAAACAAATTTTTACCTGATCAGCTCCAGCTTCCAATAGGAAACGCACCATTTCGAGATGTCCTTTGTAACATGCCAATGTTAAAGCAGATTCTTTAAATTCATTAGAATGAGTATTAATGCCAGCTCCATGTTCCAGTAGAATCTTGGCAACTGGAACATGCCCAGCACTGGCCGCTTCCATTAAAGGTGTATGACCATTTTCATTATGATCTTCAACATTGGCACCTGCTTCTAACAATACACGTACAACTTCCTCATGACCACCAGCACATCCATACATCAGAGGAGTGTTACCTTCAAATATAATTAAGAATGCACATAATATAGAAAGTAAAGTTTATTTCACTATTACTATTAAAAAAATTTATATTTAAAAAAAATAGTTCTAATTTTTTCTATGTAAGCAATTTAATAATCTAATAGTTCTAAAATGAATTATATTGTTTATATCATGCATTACATATATTTACAAATTAAAAGTTGAGCTTATTTCATAAAGTGAATACTTGTATCAATTGCTTGTTTTCATATTTCAAAGATATTAATGTAATAAAATTATTCTGAAATCTCAATATGCTAATTATACAGTATTATCTTACCTGAAGTTGATTGAGCATTAACATCAGCTCCATGTGCTATAAGTAAGCTTACAATATCCACATGGCCTGCACTGGCAGCCTCCATCAGAGGGGTACAATCCCCTTTGATGCCACGATCTTCTACGTTTGCATTCATTGCCAACAATACCTATATATAACAAATAATACGATATACACATTATATACAATACAATTTCATCGGATATAAATTATTTACAATATAAATATATTGGATATAAATTATTTATGATACTTTTATATAATGTATAGAAATTATAAAAATATTTACAAATTTCACATATTTTGCATTCTAAAGTCTAATATCTCTCTCAAAATTTGAACTAATATCGTATAGAGATTTTATTATAATACATAATAATAAGAATTTTCTAAAATATAAAAGCAATATTATTATCTTTCTTTTCTTTTATTCTGATTTATCTTATCACGTAAATTTTCGTTTTATTACTATTTTATAATTGTCTTATTAATATGAGTTTTAAATTTGTCTTTATTTATAGAAAATAATTAATATAATAGTTTAAAAAAAATAAAATAATTGTTAACTATAAAGATATAAACTTATAATTATAAGTTAGACGTGTGTACCGTAAAATATTTATCCACACGTATAACGTTTATGTGCATCATGCATTTTTAAAATTGTATACGCATATACGATTGATGATGCATATATCAAAAATTCATAATATTTGAATAAATGCACATACATTTACTATTATAAATAGATCTAAAACAATACAAAATAAGAGAACAAAGACAAACCTGAGCAAGTTCGTAATAACCAGCTGAACAAGCAAGAGAGAGCAGACTCTCTCCTTCTTCCGTAGTTTCGTGAACACTGCGACCTTCTGTCAGCAACTTTCTTACAGTACCAACGTCGCCGTCAGTGCAGGCCTCCACAAGCGAGCGCTTCTCGTTTTGGGTACGTGGATTATCGCTACGCATACGCGTTAATGCTGCTGCTGCTTCGTCCAATGCACAAGAAACACTAGATGTTAAACGACGGAGCACCTCGTGATCTGCCAAGTGCTTCCCATCGCCTGACGACAATTTGCCTATACCTGCTGCCTCCAGAAGAGCTTCCAAACGCGCTTGAGTTACAGGATCTACTGACCTTTCAGGGTCCTCCGGGTTCAATAGAAACTTGGATGACTCTAGATGATTATCTTCATCCAACTCAACTTGATCAATTGCAAAACACTCCACCTATAATTATTATAAAAACAATACAAATAAAATATCATTTATATATATAAAACAACTTTGATTTTGACTATGTAATTAATTAGTACGACAAATGCAAATATTTAGATAAATATTTTTCTTAAAATAAAAGTTTCTTAAATTAGTTGGACATTTAAATGAAAAAAAAAAAAAAAGAAAAAGAAAAAAAGAAAAAAAAAAAAGAAATACTTCTTTCGAATGGTTTACTAATCAAATCAAAAGATTATATAATTTTTGATTAAAACTAAAGTACAAATGAAAAATAAAATATTTTATGAACTTGTAATAGAGAAATAATATCGTAAAATAGATATAAAGTAGAATAATATATATTAATTGTGAATAAAAGAAATATTGAAAGTACAGATTATTACAAATACAAAAGATACAAGCAAGATATTAACTTTGCTAACTATATAAGGAAAGATACTTTTCATTCGTAACAACGGATATAGCTTGATTATAGATACAACAAAGATGTCTCTGAAAATGAACATCAAATAATTTTAGTGAGCCTAATAATAAAAGATAATAAATTTATAATTCATATTTAACACTAATGTTTAAAAATGACTTATAATAAATAAGTATAATAAATAAGTTTAATTAAAAATTACTAAGTCCCTTTGTTTTATAATCAAATATAGTTAATTGATCAATAAAATATTGTCACAGAACACATCAATAAATAAGTATTAAATAAATATAATTACACATTACCATTTAACACATTACGAATTATAACAAATATAAAGTCATCATTATTGTTCTTTTTTTTGTAGAATTAGGAGCATAATTGAATTATGAAAATAAAATGAAAAAAACGTTTTATTGTATAATTATTTGAACAACATGGTATGTATAACTTTATCATCAAGCTTTGACACGATTACAAAACGTGACGCTCCTAGATAATTGAGGTTATTTCCGCCAAAGGCAGACTATCAACGGTTTTTATGTATAACCGTATAATATAAATATAATCTTTAATAAAACGAAGTGGAATATCAGCACAATACAATAATATAAATTATTTATAGATGATGAGAAATATATAGTATAAAGGCCACGTTGAATTAACAAAGAGGAATGTAAATGAAAGAATTTAAATGCATACGATGTCAATTTAAACTTCGTTAATATATAAAAAAAAAAACATCTCTCGTTTTACAATATTCGATAAGAATGAATATTTGAAGATGAAGAAGGAATTCGCGAGTGAAAGTATGAGAATAACCTGGCAACTAAACGGTTATAAGAATAATGTGCAGCCATTCCAAGAAGCACACACAAAGCTAGTAATTCCTCGTTTAACTATTTCATGCGTACCTACGCTAAAACTTAGTTTTTTGCCCTGTTCCAAAATTAATAGGTTCAGGCGAATTTGCCTTGTGTTCACGACCGTTGTCTTCCACTCTTTTCAATAACGAACACGATCTTAAAAGCGCGCAAGAGAGCAAAAGAAGTAGACAGAGCGGTAGAGAGGGAGAGGGGAAGGGGGAAGAGACAGGAAGAAGACTGGATAGAAAGGTGATCGGAGGGGAAGAACGAGAAAGAAAGACGAAATTCTGCGAAGGTTTTTCGTAAATTATAGAATATGGTGGTCTTCCTCCCCAGTATTTCCTCGCACACGCGTTCAACAACAAGAAGGAAGGCGACCGAGCGAGCGAGGAATATATAAACGAGCAGACAAGCCTTCATGAACACGCACCAAACGTGAGAAATACAAACGAAATCCGCTGGGTGGCGCCCGACATAGTACACGGTTATATAGCAAGGATACACTTGTACAATGCTATATACATATACGTGTCACTATATACGTAGAGCGCGTGCGCGCACGCGACATAAGCGCATATACATACACGCGCACGCGTGCCCGTATCCAGTAAAGCGCAAGTTCCATTACGAACATGTGTATGCGTACATTCATAGTACATGCCATACATACATGCGCGCGCGCGTTGATCGGTGTATGCGCACGCGCATGGTTATGCAGCATGCCACTAAGAAATTTCAAGCGGCGTGTATATACACACTCTTGCAGTCATGTGGATATATGAAAGAGAGAGACACGAGATGGCATACGAATCTTAACCATCCGAATGGCACCAATGATATACGTACAAGGTTCATTTTTCGATGATGATACACAGTATTTTCATATTATTTTTTATAATTTTTGCGAACTTCTTTGTCTCCGAGAGAGTAATGTAAGTGTTGAAGGACGAGTTTTCAGAGAAGATGCAGGAAAAAGAGGGATAGGTAGACTGTATAATGGAGGATGAGAAGAGAGAAAGAAAGTATTGAAGGATCGTCTGCACGTTTTGCAAGAGCAGGGAAGACTTGCAATTGTCTCTTGTTCACTGAATCTTCACTGGCGTTCTCTACCTATTAACGCATACATTTCGATTATATAACTTCTCTATGCGAATTTCCTTTATCGTTTATTCGTTCGCTCATTCGCTCGTTCTTTCGCTCTTCCTTTTCTTCATTCTTTCTCTCTCTGTCTCTCTGTCTCTCTCTCCTCTCCCTCTCTCCCACTCCTCTCTTTCTACCCCTCCCGCTCATCTATCCTTTTCTATCCACCACTTCCTCTTTCCTTTCCCTTCGAAGGTAGTAAGGTACGATAAACGGCACATAATTTCACATTTATTAAAGAAAGAATACACAATGCTTTCGATGTTAAATATTAAGTCAGACGAGAGAATGATCTCAATGGACTTCTGGTAAACGACAATAAGAAAATTTCTATCCAACGAAATGGCAAGAACTTAAAATGACAAAAAATTGATCATTCTCGAATAATTGTTTTTTTGTGCTGAAAAACCTTCGACCGTTCGTATTCTATATATATGTAGTTGGATCGAAATGAGATCGTACCTAATAGTAATAAGTACATGCGTACTACTATGTGGAGAGAGATCTCGAAAAAACGCGTGAGACAAAATAATTCCTAATAAATTCTTATAAGTTGATCGTTCATTCATCGTATCGGCACTAATGTAAGAAGACGCATATAAGTCTTGTTCCTAGAAAAACGAGGAACGTATTTTTGGTTAATGAAGTAGAAATGCACGCGCGCGACTCGTCGCGATTGACGTGTCCCATGAGAGGCGCTCGTCGAAAGTCTAGCGATCACGAACGGATGACTCGATGCAGGGACGGGGCTCTCTCTCTCTATCTCTATCTCTCTCTCTCTCTCTCTCTCTCTCTTTCTTTCTTTCTCTCTCTCTCTCTTTCTCTCTCCCTCTTACGCACACACACATCCATGTTTCTTGTTTCTCGCCTCGAATCACAAAGATATTATTCCTTAATATAAGTTGGTTTCGCGTTTACCTCTGAAACGCTGTCTTCTTCGCTCTCCGACGAGTCTGTCATAAAGCGTGGCTGCAATTCTGAAAAGGTCTCGGTTTCCGACTTGGTGGGACTAGAGTTCGAGGACTGGGGAGTCGACGACGTCTTCCCAGTATCGTGGTGAACGCTCGCTGATTTTTCGTGTTTTTGGCTATCCGAGGTTGTTCCTTGTGCTACATTCTGCATCTTTACCTTCCAGATGAATCATATGACACTGAGTTATCGCTTCCGTGCCGCGAAACACACACGGAACACTTGCTTTTTGACGATAATCTCAAGCACGATCGCCGTCATTCACGTAAGCTAACACCCGCCATTTCCACTATGGCCGACAGCAAGAGTCCCGGATGCCTTTTCGGCCGTTCGTGCGATTTGGTATGATTCGACGGGTCACAGTGCCTTTCTCTTGGCGCGCAATTTTGAATTCACTTCCAAGTATATTTCTCTTTTTCCCTTTAGTTTTCTTTTGTACGCGTTTAATTTCATACTCACAAAATACGAACTTTGGTTTCTATATACGTGTAATCGTTACACGCATGCATTTGTCACTACTATTTATAATTCAATAGAAAATGTTATGGCAAACTGTCATATGCGTCATTAGTTTTAAAACTTAGTAAATGACCGGAAGGTACATTTTTTCCCTTAAATTATTTATTACCTTTAAAAGAAATTTGTCTCTAAAACCACGAATATAGTGTAACTAGTTATTAAGTTATATTTGTTTTTATAAAATAAAAATAATAAAAAGAAAAAATTTTTTTTTATTTCATACATATTATACATTATAAACGTAATAATTATTAATTATATAACGTAAAATTCACTATATATTCTACATCAATCTAAGTTATCTGCTTAATGATTTATGTATTCATATTATAACATGTAATTTATCTTTTATATTATTTTTTCTTTTTTAAATATATAAAGTATATATGTAAGAAGAACGTTTCTAGTGGTAGAATATTCTAGTTTTAAAAAGTGAAAAAGCATCTCTTATCCGCCATCTTCTTTTCTTGACCAATGATAATTCATCAATTCTGTATGTCTAAACGTTGTAAAAATGAATTTACTTCTAATCCGCCATTTTTACTATTTTTTCGAAATGTAAGTCAGTGGTAAAGTATATTTACATGAAACAATCTGTAAATTTTTATTATAGAATATCAATATTGTAAAACGTTTAATTGAATCACGATGTTACTCGTACTTTATAAAATGAAATTTCATATTTTGTATCCTATATATATTTTAAATATATATTGGATATAATATATATATATATATTTTTTTTTTTAAGTTTATATAGCAGTGATAAGTTTAATAAATAAAATTATAATTATAGAATTATAATAAGGTAATATATATTATATATTAGTATTTAGTTAATATTTTATTAAATTTAAAGTTAATATTTTATTAAATTATTGCATAACATATATTTAAAAGAAAAAGATTAAGTGCCAAGAAGAGGTAGAAAGAGTCTTGAACTATAATAACATAAAAAGGCAAAACCTTTGACCTCGTTGCCCTAAGTAAAAGAAAAATAAACGATAAAGCTTGAATTTTCAAATATAGTATGTTACATTTTTTTAAATCAATGTCTGAAAGATAGATCAATTATCTTTTAAAAGTAGTCAATGTCCGAGTAATACAATACACAAATTAAACATAATCACATTTTGTGTCATTTTTTTACATAAAGAGCTATTTTGATATTGATACTTCGTGTAATTTTAGTTTTATTGAGCTTTATTGAATTGTTTTCTAAATGATTCATTTTTAATATATATCACTTTCTATAATAATATTATTTATATAAACATACTATTTTTACAATTTTTATATTCCTTTATAAAAAAACATATTGATTGATTGTAACAATAAGATTGTAATTATTAATATCAGCTTTATTCCATCTTATCTTTATCAACTTCTATCGATATGACTATATAGCAGAGATATTCAGTGTTAACACAAAAATTGAAAATGTATAGCATAAATCATGTAATACTAAACTTATATTTAATATATTAAAAATTAATTCATTTACAATGATTTTTTACAATAGAATTTAATATTTAGATATACCCAAAGTATTGTAAATTATATATATTTAGGTATAGAGAAATAAATATATCAAAAAAAACATTTTAGTAATTTGATTATATTTTATTTAAAGTATATCAAATGAAGTAAAAATATATATCAGATTAATTATTCTAATTTAAATGAAAACGTATCTTTTATAAAAACACATAAGTAATTTATTTTCTACAATAACTATAAAATATTTAATCAGTTATTTATAATGTCTTAATATTGTTTACTTTACAGTAAATAAATTAAGCAATTATTATATAGCATTGTTAAACGAATCAAAAGTAGAAAGCTTTGCAGTAAAGTATAATATGATAAATGTCAAATATCTAAAAGTACTTTGAGTAGTATATAGTATCGCCTTAACACTATTGCTTTTTAATGCATTGTACTTGTTTTTCTTATGTATTATTTCAATTTTTTTTTCTCTCTTATATACTAAATGTGAGAAAAAAGACTATCTTACATTGATTTTTCTAATGATTCTCAAATATGGATTTGAGTAAATTACACATAAAACCGCATTTGCTTATATTTAACAAGACTTAACGTACAATTTATCTTATTAATTATAGTTGCATCCAATGTTCTTTGTTTTAAATCGCCATCATGAGTTACTATATTTTTTGTTATACACACAACATCGATAACTATCAAGAATTAAAATACAAGTATACGTCTTTCAAACAGATACTTGTACATAATGACACGTCAAGCATATAAATCAAAATGATCCTTTTTTTACATTATCAATAAAGGTGTAAACAAGACTGAGTATACTCGCTTTCACTTTTATTTGTACATTTAACCTTGTTACATCATTTTTTTGTCTATTTAAATGCAAATATAAGAATTAATAATTTGTTGGGGGGCTCCATTGGGTGATAGAATAAATCGTGTAGCTGCTATTATATAAAATTGTTTAATTTAAAAGATTAAGCTTACACGTTAGTAATACCAAAAAACAAAACTTACAACGTTTATAATAGAGAACATTTTTTTTTAACATTCGTTAGATTGAATAACAAATTATAAAAAAAATCAAGAACTGTTTCTACTATTTTCGCCGCATTAGCTGAATTGTAAAAATTAATTTTTTTTTATCCTTTTCTCTTTTTTTGACATATTATATAATATACATATATATATATATATATATATATATATATATATATATATATATATTCGCGTCTCAACTAATACGACGAGATCCATAATCTGTTACATATAGTAAAAATAATAAATATT